TGAAAAGACTCAGCTTAAATCTGTGCGGAAATCTTTTTCAACTGATTATTATCCTCACTTTTCTTGTTATTCTTTTAAAAATTCCATTGATTTACAAATATTTTCAATTTTTTCTTGTTTTCACTTCTCTCTTTCTCTATCTTTGATGACTCCAAGTTCAGAGCTTATGTTAATCCAATGTTGTGTAGAGGGTATAAAGATAGTTCGCTTGAAGATTTCTTGTTAGATCTGTAGAATAGATGCGAAGCCGATAGGCTTATCGAATTCAAAGAAAAATAGCTGAAGCTCTCACTTCTCCTCTTCTTATCCATTTAAATCGCAATTTTTTCGCTTTTTTTTCGATTTGAAAACTTTAAGAAATTATGTTATAGGATGCAGATTTCTAAATTCATCAATGCGGATAGTGGAATTGTAGATCGATATAGTGTTCGAAGCTGAAAGCAAAGTTATAAGCTCAGACATGAACATGATCGTGATCAATCCCAACTAACCGAAAACTTGTATTTTCTGAACAATTATGCTTCAAAGCATTTTCTTGAAGCATCTCATTATGATGTCGTTTCTTTCGCTTTCAATATTATAATATGGATTTAAGTGTATAATATATATCGTTTTCTGCCTTCATTGAATATATATATATTTTTGTAAATAAATATAAAAAAATACACAAAAAATGAGATGAGATTGCCATATTTGGTCAAAAATAGCATATTTGTATGAATCAGATATTTGATGAAGAAGAAACATCTCCATTTTTTTTGCTTGAGTTTATATGTTTGCTTTCCGTTTACAAGTTATAATTCAATCTTTTGTTCAGTTATAGCCTGTCTCATGTCTTTTTGGCTTGTGCGTATATACACACACAAAGGAGCTGGCTACAGGTTCAAAAATGGACGATAAAGTTGAAATCTATGCATTGGTGAAGGATGATAGAGAGGAATGAACGGTGAAAAAGAGAGAAAAAAAGGATTCGAGAGAGGGAATGAAAGAAAACTGGGAATTGTTCGAGAGAAATAGATTGAATGAGGAACGGTTTTTGTTGAACATGAAAGAATGTAAATTCAATACAATAGCCATGTTCGTGGGAAGAACAGATTAATAATTCTCCATCTTTCTTATAAATTAGTTTCTTTGTGATATCTTGTTCAGCTGTTACGTTACTTATCAAGTTCTGCTAAATGTGAACGAAAATATAATTTTGAAGATGTTAGAAATGAAAGAAGAGAAAGATGGTGGGAAAAAAATAATTTAAACAGTCCGTCAGTTTGGCCGATTTCGCTTTGTAGTTCACAAGAACAACAAGCGAGGTCCTCGAAATGCAATGAGCCGATTTCTGATTTTCTTTTTCATTCCTTCAAATAAGCCCACCCTTAATGTTAACATTCTAATTCATTTGCATATTTATAACGAAAAAAGGAAATAGCCAAAAGATGTTTTCATTCAACTTGAACCAATCAAATTATTTGCATACGTTAATTTGCGTAAACTAAAGTTCTTCCGATCTATGCGTACTTACGGTGCAGTCGTTTTCTCATTTCCATTGTTGTTGACGTAAGATGCGGTTGTAGCTGGAAAACTGTCAGCATATTTTACTTTAAAATTTTTTTCTATTCTTCTAATTATTTCGGTAGTTTTGATTAATTATTCAATTAATTACTTTTTTTCTAACGTCCTTGTTCCGTAGATGCATTTTCCTTTTTTGGTTATGTCTTGTGGTTGATCTTTGAAACGAAGATTGGCTTCTAACACATAGACAGTCAGTCTTCTGCTCTTATATGTTGATCAACGCTTTTCATTTTATCTGGTTTTCTTGCAACACTTCTATTATTTCTGTATTCTTTGACTATGGCTGGAACTGATGTCAGACAATTTCCATATTAATACATTGTCGATGAGACTGGACAATGACCTCTGTTAGAGTTTGCCTCTCCCTCACATAACTTGCTATGTCCAACACTCTTCCTTCTCAAAATTCATAAGACGTCCTCCTGCCCATACTTCTTCTGATACTCATTCACCTGCTACTACCGATGATTGTTTGAACAACATCTGCTTCAGTGAAACTTTTGGTATTATCAATTAAGATGAGACTTTTTTGTGATCGTATAGTGCCAAAGTGAGGAATGGATGGGTATCCTACTTTTCACAACGGAAGAGTTGCAACTAGTATTTCCTCCATAATTCAATCGTCGTTACAACCTTTGTGACTTCATATGGGCATGTTCTTCTATCTTTGTTCATTCAAGTAAGATTAATCCGATTCATTCAAGTGGCAGTTTAGAATATATTTTGTTCTGTCATTTCTACAGTCTTCTAGAGTGCTTGTTACATGATTCGTCGCTCTCTTCCAGTTTTGTTGAATCTTTTCATGCTGAGCATTCTCATTAAGTTGGCCGTTTATAGAACAAGCTCTTGAATAATGTTTCAGAGTTCTTCAAAGCTTTATCACTTACCGTAATGTTTCATGCCTGTTTTCGGTCGCTTGTTCAGATATTTGATCAAACAGCTTTAGTTCGACTACTAGCATTTCGGCCATAAACAAGCCCTCAAATATCATCTGTCACATTCTCTGTTTGAACCTTTACACCATTCCGCTTTTGAACTTTAATGTTTTAAGTGTATTCCTTACAAAATGTAATGAAGAAGACTATCAGAAACGAGGCAATTTTTGTCTCTTTTCTAAGCATTGTCTCTCAGTCATACATCACGGCTAATCTCCCTTCCTATTGAGTTTCCTATCATCTTGGGTTTTTCGGTGATCACGCCTTGTAGACCAGAACGCATTAACACCTTTTATGGTTTTCATCAAATGCATAGAATGAAAGAAAGTATTTTAGAAAGCTATATGTAGATAAAATTTCTTCTCCCTTTTGGATATAACCACGCCGACAGTTTTTTGCATTTGCCTTTGGCTTCTCTATGGATATTCCAAATTACTCATTAGATAGCGAACGTAAGCGTTTCCGAATTCTTTCAACGGATTATTTCTTATCATTTTTAGCCCACAGTACTTTTTGTGATTTGCATGAGGTGTTTTAAAGAAATAATCTGAAAGAATTCGTTCCTGTTGATCAGTTACGGATTGTAGTCGTATGGTATAAGAAGCTCAATGTCTTACTCAACTTGTTCGTTCAAAAATATATTTGGTTTCGTTATTTCTTTTTTGTGAAAGTCAAGTAGATGTTCAGTCAGCTGCAAGCTCTTACATTAGCTCTTGCACAAATAGAAATGTGGTCAACTAAGCTGTAGTGTGAAGATTCACAAACTTATATAATAATTCAAAGTTCTTCCAATCACAAAGGCTTGTTTCTTCAGTTCTCTTATATTGTTTTATTCTTTTCATCCACGTCACTCTTTCATCAGTCGAGTCTTTTAATAGTCTGAATTAGCATATTGCGCTTCGTAGTGTTATTTTTCTGTTTTTTTAAAAATTGGTATGCTAATGCATAAGAGAGCTCCTACGTGGGCATGCCTATGATATGCTAATGAGCCACGCGTTGCAAAATAGACCCTAAATCCAAGTTATTGTCATTTACAATGGTTAAGACGATCAGGGACGGTCAGTCTACTACTCAAATTCTCCGTTCACCATTGTGAGTTTTATTTTCGTGTTCTTGCGAGTAGTTTATTATTTGGATGGTGTACTTCGTGTAGTATGCACTGAATACTTAAAAACCAATATACTTCCTCTCTTCCATAGTAATGGATGAGTTGCTTCTACGGATAGTCTGTTGCGCATGTAGTTTTCTCTTGAAAGACTTTTCAAAATAGTCTTATTATCTTTTTTTTTATCGTTATCATCTTTTGAATGCTGCACATCCTATCATCTTCATCACATATTTCGCATAAAATGTTTGCCAAATGAGAATCTTTCGCATTCTGCTTCATTCACTTGCTTTGTGGACAATCACAGTCCGGCTCTTAATCTTCTGTTAATGACATTAACATGCTGAGGACAAGCATAGAAAGTGACTGTTCATGTTTTATTATTATTTTCTATAATTATATAGAAATATTTTATTCTACTTCATTTTAACTATTTGTTATTCAGTCTCTTCTTTTCTCTCTTCATCTGAACTTGTTCTGTTCGTTTTACGAAATAAGGATAATCTGTTATGTAGTGGAATAACTTTTGACTGTACGATGTTTCAAAAGCATTCGGAGGCTCTCTCTTTCTGGAGTAGCCAGATTCACTCTTCAGCTGAATTCAGCTTGATTCTAAAGTTCATTTGTATTGTGTAGTCGTTGAGGTTTTTATTTTTTCAATGAAAAAAGTGATATTTTGCGAAACGCACTACTTTTCTTTGTTTGGTGCTTCTATAAAAGTGGTTGTTTATGGAACTTGAAAGACTAGCAACATTAGATGCGCCGCGATCAAATCCAGAGTGAAGGAAGCATAACATGGCTCTCATCTACAACCCTTCTGGTGGTGGACTTTGTTTGTTTTCCATGTGTTGGTTGGTAATCCGCAAATACTTGAGCTATCTTCAACGATTCTCCGTCACTCACCTCCGCATAGGTCGTTCTCTTTTCCTCATCCTTCTTTTTCATTATTTAGCATTGTTCTTCCCTTTTCCCGAATATCTTTTTGAATGCTCTTGAAATGGCCCTATCTTATCAAAAAAAAGTTTTAATAGCTAATTAATCTCACGTGTTCTAATATCCTTCCTATTGTTAGCATAACCTCTCATAGTCCTGTCTGAGTCACAAGCTTGTTCACTGATGTATACTAAGATATGATGCCTATATCCAGAACTGGCATTTTAGGAAGTATTTTGCATATTAATTGATGTTGATGGCTCTGGATCCAGCAGCTTTCCGGTCCGTGTCCATAAATGGGCAAGGCTTGGCTAGTAAATACCTCATTTCTTGTTTCTTACCTATTCTTGATGAGAACAGTTTAAAATCGTTGAACAGCTTTTTTGAGGAAATATCTTCTAGATAGAACCCGGTCGACATTGAATAAGCTCTACACATCACTTCCCTCTTTATTTGATGTTTGTTCTAAATAAGAACATTCGTCAGTCTTTTACCTTTTATAGCTATCATAGCTTCATGAAATGGTTTAACCTTTAGTTTTAGTTCGTTTTCCGCAATTATTTGGGTCGTTTCCTAAATTGTTTGGTGGCTTTAAAAGCATTATGGCGCTGGTCATTGACTTACAGCTTTCCCAGGGTCCTTAAAGTCATTTTCGGGTTCAAAAAAAGAAGCATTTTTTTTAATGATCATTCGACACCCATGATGACGACTTCCCATGTTCACTTCAAGCAAAAAAATGAAGCCACGCGAATGATTTGTGGTCATCTCGTCATTTCACGTTTAGCTTAGAAGTTGTACTAGAACAAGATCAATCCGGATTTTTCTTGACAAAATATTAGACTCATCATCATGTTCTCGCATTCTTCGCACTCAGACGTAGGAAGTCTTATTTTAATACGAATTCTTTGTATGATTGTTTAAACTGTAGAACATATTCATATTTACTCATGCTCTCCAGAGGTCATCCATTATCTGACAGCTAATTAACGACTTCAGTCAAATAGCTAGTCAACTGAGTTATCACTTCAGCTTTATTTGATGCGATAAAAGTTAATTGCTCTTTACCCAATTTAAAGCTACAACTAACATTAGAATCATCATGTGGTTTTCAATTTGCGATTTTCTTCTTTTTTTTTGTCCAACGCCGTCTCTACGGTTACCCAGCTTGCCACAACCTTTCTGTTATTATTTTTTATCAGTTGAAACATGAATGGCAAGTCCTAATAGGAAGAGAAGTTAGTAATTTGAGGTGCCAATATTGACGCTAGTTTTGAGTATTCTGTCTTCGCTCTGTCCTTCCCTCCTCTTTTGCTTCGTCTTCTCTAAACATACTTAGTATAGTGTGCTCGTTCTATTAGGCATGAGTATTACTACTATTGTTTCCTCAGAATAAACACATGATCACTCATTTCACTCCAAAACTTCTAATGTTATTTTGATATCTTTCCATATTATTTTTATTATTTTTAATACGAAAGAGATCGTATAGTAAGAGCTCATCTATGCATCACTTCTTGCCGAATCTGATTTTTCTTTTTTTTGTTGAAATTGCTTTCATGCTGAGCATCAGACCTTAGAAGAATTCTTGCTTCCAAATATTAGGTTACTAGTGTTAATCTCATATTTCTTATTTCAATTCTATGGCCACAAGATGGTTTTTTTCTTTGTTCGGCTGTTTAATTCAACTAATCTTTCGCTACATTTGGTTTATGTCTCATTGACATTCAGATGATAACGATCAAGTGTTGACAGATCATAATTATTATTTTAATTGATTACAACCATTTGAATAGTTGGACTATTCTTGAGATCGTTCAACTCCTTCACTTTTCACCAAACATCAGCCATTTGTGATTTTCGTTTTTTCTTACTTAATCACTCATTTGGCTATTTGTTTAATTTTCAATTTGAATTTCAATTAGTTAGAAATTGAGATTTTGATTTGAAGGCATCTCAGAACCTCATTCCGTTAACATAGATTTAAAACTAATGATTGGAAATGCACACATTTGAGATCAGTTTGTTTCTTGTTCGCTTTCTGTAAAACACAGAGGCCTAAGAATTTGAACTATGGAACCGTTTCATGGTCTGTCAACACAATTGATGGAACAATTGAGTAATTTGTGGTTCATATATTGGCTCTACATTCTAAAATTACTATCAGATGTGTTATGCTAATTATGCTATGCCTTTGTCTTTCATTCTTCAGCATGATTATCGGCGATAAGTGAACGATGCATGATTTCTTTTACTTTTCATCTCCTTTGCTCTTATTGCTCTTCGGTTCCTCTTTTCGTGTCGAGACACTTCACTCATACGGTTGATGAGCTGAAAGAAATGAAGAGCAACTAAGCACATTCCGATGATAAAGCAGTCTGAGACGAATCTGGACTAGGGATACTCCAAGCTCTTTCTCTTCTTTTTTATCTTCTTGCTTCGAGTTTCAGATTTTTGTTTTTTTTTTCTCCTCTTTTCACAATTGAGGAAGCAGTCTGAAGACTATTCTACAGTTAACAAGAATTTGAAAAAGTGGGGGGAGGAAGTGATGTGAGAACAGGATGATGATTCTAATTTCATCAATTGCTTTTCTTGCTCTATTGGTATCGTTTTGAATGATGGTGGTATGATGTTAGTATGTAATAGTACACAGTGTTCATATTAAATGAAAAACTTCGCAGACCAACTTAATCATCATTCAATTCTTATTATCATATTTGTCTTTCAACTTTTCCTTCTCACGATTTTTTCTTTTTTTTTTCTTTATTTTACTTTTGTGAGGATTGATCTACTTCAAATCAATTTAGTATTCTTGTGTTTGTAAGTTATATTGTGATGAAGCTTGGCTCATCCTCGTATTCTAGCTTTTCTTATAATTAAAAAAAAAAAGAAAGACCAGACTTTGTTCGTTCATGTTTTTCCTACATCTCAACTAAACCAATTGTCTGTATCTCGAAGTTCTAAATGGAAACTTCACTTTTCTTTTTTTTAGTTCAACAAGAGCTATCTGGCTTCTTCTAGCCTTGCTAGTGTCAGCCCATCCCATTTCTCTTTAGTTAACTGAGATTACAATCAAAGTAAATTGAAAATCTACTTTATGTATGTATATTGGCATAGAATTCTTCTATATACATTCATTTCTTTTCGTTTTCTTATTGTATTTTATGTTCCTGAAAGTGTTAGTCTTCTTCTTCTTCATCATCATCTTCTACATCTTCGTCGTCGTCCTCTTCTTCATCATCATCTCCTTTCATCCATTTTGAACCAATTTTTCGGAGAGAAAAAGCAAAAAGATAGTCCATTCATCTATGCATTTAAATGTCAATATATATGAATGTTGAATATAAAAAATAATAAAATCTACTTTCATTTGATGTTTTTGACGACGCACGTTTTTCGCGTTTTGAAAATGCATCTGAAATTCATTTCTGGTTCATGGCAATCATATGCGTTGCTCACTGCCTCCTTTTTGCTAATTTGTTTGCATTTTTCACAATCATCTCAAGAATATCTTCGAAAAGAGAAAATAACCAATCTTTGTATCTTCCATTATTCAGTTATGATCTTTGTAATCATTTGATCTCACACAGTTCAGTCAACTCACTTCATCTCATCGCACTACCATCTTCATTTCATTTTCTCGTGATAGTAGCAAGCAGTAACTCTTTCAATATTTCTTTTTTTCTTACCGAAATCACAAGGAAGACGAAGAGAGAATGAAGAAGAGATCATATAAGAGAGAGAGAGATAGAATCTCCTTCTGTCATTGAGTGTCAACAATGAGTTTCATTTAAGTGATAACTTAAATTGTACTATCGAAAATCGTTCAGTTCTATCACATCTGCACTTTCAATTTTCTTGTTGCTCTTTTCTTTGTTTCAATTTTTTTTTGATTCAAAAAACCAGCCGTATTTGTTCATCTCTACATAATGTCGTAATTTCGAATACTTCATTCATCATTGAATTTTCTCTTCGATTTTGACTATTTTTTTTCTTTATTCTCAATCAATACTGCTTGTTCTAAACATCTAATGATGTCTTATCACTCAACATTTCACTGGCGCCGGAAGTTCATGAAGAAACACCTCCGTTAGTTGATTGAGCAATACTGAATGAGAGTGTGGTGGGGGGGGGGGGAAGGTTTATCACTATCTTCAACATTGTCATTTACTCAATTAATTGGTCAAGCCTCTTACAATTAGCTTGCTTCGAATTTTCTAATTTCAAGCGTTCTTATATTCTGACTCAGAGTCATTCTTTCACAATCGTAATACTTCATTTGTATATTCTCTTTCTTCGTTGTTACATCAGAAGCTCATATTCATGAAAAGTCATTTCAGAATCGATGGAAGTAGAGAATGGAACGATATAATTATCGATATAATCATTTGAGAAATGGAGCCAGCATACGACCATATGTACAAGCAACAACCACGAACATGATTAAGGTACGTCTTCTTCGATCAGCTTCTGTTCTTTGCTTTTCATTAGTAAGATGTAGATGTTATGTTCTCACATCCATTCATTCATATGTATTTGATGATGGTGGAGTGGGAGTCAAAGAGTTAGACACATACATATCTCACTTTTCATTCATGTTGATTTGTTTATTTGTGCTGATAGACACAAATATCCAAATATGGAAACAGTTCTCCTTGTTTTACAGAATATACTAATGTCTATTCGTTAGTATTTGAAAACTGGTTTACGAGACATCTTTATAACTCTCTGCTATCAGTAATCACTCATTACTGTTTGTCTATATAAGTCTTGGATGTAATTGTAGATTTACAACTTTGAAAACAGTTACATCAAAGCTGTCATGATGTCATCCATGCTTGTACTATCCGTCATCAGTTGTTTTGTTTTCTATATTCATAGCTTCCAATCTCTTCAAATGTTAGAGCAATTCGTTTATCCGGAAAGAGATGGACAGAGATGAAATAGATGTTATCTTTCAATTTTTTGATTTTCAAAGACAAAACATGGCTTTGAATAAGCATATCATCTACCTGGGGTCTGGTTGTCATCATTCATCTTCTCACGTCCAGTTTCAATCATCTCTCAATTTACCGCTGCTAGCATAACCAAAATGAAATCTTCTTGTCTTCATCAATGTATCATTCTCTTCTTCCATTAACTCGTATGATTTTCAATTTCATCGATGAATTGGACTAATACAGTCTATGAGAATGGTTTTCATTTCTCATTTCCAACAGTTTTTTTTTCATCAAAAACTATCCCAAATGCCATTTAGCTATGGTTGTCTGTTTTCCCCACACATAGACATACACATACAACACATCGACGTCGTTCTCACCATTCTCGCTTTTCGCTTTTTCTTCTTTACGCTTTCTGTTTTAGCCTCCCCCTCCCTATAACATATAAAGAGAGATGTTTCAATTAACTCTCTCTGAATGTAGTCAAAGGGCATTCTCTATTTAACATTCATAAATATCTCAATCGGTTCATAATAAATCTCATGGGGGTTACATTTTATTGGGTGATTAATTATCTCTTTCATTCTTCATCTGAAACATCTTGCGCGAAAAAAAAGAAAGAAAAAGAAGAAAAGATGAAGGAAAAAACGACATGAAGCTTATGTATCAGTTTTTTGTTCAGTTATGACTATATGCTGATGATAATGATAAGAGAAGGTGCTAGAAGATCCTGCTATCATTCATATCCATTCCAATCTTCATAAGCAACACAACCCATTAGAGAATACTTAACTGTATGTAGTAGCAGTTGTTCATTTGGAAGAGAATGTCTCTCTCTTAGTTGAACCATTAACACTTCTTTGTCGTTCCTAATGTTGTTCCCCGTAATTCGTTTTTCTTTCTTAACAAAAGACCTCAAATCTATTTAAGTAAAAGTATGCATTTTAACATTTAATTTCTCAAAAACTTTTGGTTTATTTGTTTCTCTATGATAGAGAGAGATAGAGAGAGAGAGAAGGGAAAGTTCCAGAGAGAGTAAGAAACACACTCGTTTCCTTTTCGTTTTCAGTCTAATCTCATCTATCATTTCTCTATCTATGTAATCTCTCTCTCTCTCTCTCTCTTAGTTTTGTTTCGTTTTTCATGATTTTCTGCTAATTTTTGGTTACATCTTCTTATTCTTATTGGCGCCAATTCATCTAACGCCGCCATTCCGTCATCGTCATCTGTCGTCGTCTGAAATCGGTCGGAGGACGGTTAGTTAAAAACTAAATATCTGCCGTCCGTCTAATATTAAAATGGCCATGTGCCGTTAATGTTGAACCGTTTAAAGTCAAATATCGTACTGTTGTCCATCATTTTCGATTTCAATTGACTTTCTCTCTCTCATTCATCTCTCTCTCTCTCTCTCTCTATACTCTTCTTACTCTCTTGTATGCCTTCTCTCCTCCTTCAGTTTCTTCATTTTCATTTTTGTTATTGAATAAGAAAATATGAAAAGAGTATGAGAATGAAAATGAATGTTTTTGTCCTGTTTCTTTTCATTTTCCTGTTCATATCAATAGTCTTGCCTTTTTAATTATCCTAATCTTCAAATCTGTTCAATGACAACGACCCATGTATTCGTCATTTTTCCTTTTTTTTTTCTTCTTTCTACGTCTCTGTTCACCATCTTCTAGCTAGCTAGCTGAAAGTTAATTTGCGTTTGTCCCTAATTTCTCATAAAAATCAAATATGTCTAATGGATGATGTTGAACTCTGTTTGAATGTCTCCGCTCCTCTCCCTGTATTCCCCATTTGATCATCTCATATTTCAATGAACTTGAAGCACATTCGTTGAGATCACATAGTTTATCACCCATAACACATAAAACAACATTAGTTATGGGTCAGAGTAGATAAGACATTCTCTTTTGCTTCTCTTTTTTTTTGTTTTATCAAAGACTTGCCGTCATTTGTGAATAATTCTGTGTTACGTCGTCTCCATCTTGTTCATTGCCTTTCCTATATGGAATAGAAAGAAGAGAAACCGAATAACTACAAACAGTCGTGTTTCTTCTTCTTACCAAATAGAATAAGCTGATATGAAGTTTCTTCATCTTACACAGTACTGTTATTCAGTTTTTCATACTCTATCGTTAGTTTCATTTCAACAAGTTCATAGTTAATACCTTTGCCTATTGGTTGTTGTTCATTCATTCTCTTCTTTCTTTTCTTCTTCTCTTCTATTCTCTCTCTCTCTATCTCTCTCTTCTTATCCACAACTCTCTCTCTATCTTTCTATCCAAGAACCACAGTTTCAAGTTGTTTTTTTTATGGATGTTATCCAGAAGTAATTGTGTTTTCCTTCATCACCACTTGATTCTTCTCTCACCTACATGCATAGACGATCCCCCTTCCACCCCTCTCTTCACTGCTATTTTCCATTATCTTCTTGTTTTGTATCTGCTTTATCAGGTTTTTTTTTTACTTTTCATTCATCATTCCCTCATTTATTGCTTTTTCACAGTTGAAAAATCGTGAAATGAGGTTGTGAAGTACTTGACCAGCACCACACAATTGCTTATGGTTATCAATGAAGTTTAGATATAAACTGTATAGTTATATCTCATCTAGCCATATACAATGATTGCCTGTGATGTGTCCTCCCCATCTCCTTCTCCTCTTCTCTTCGATATAAGCGAATACGTCTTCTCTCAAAGTAATCTATGAATTCTAACTTTATTTTTCACATTTCTTTCAAACATTCTCAATTCATTATTATATTTCTTAACGTTCCTCATCTCAATATGCAACTGACCACATTCGGCATCTGTTCTTCGAACTTGATGCATCTATCTATCTTCCTATTCGCTATATATATAGTTTTATAAACTATATGGTAAGCTAGCATAGCAACTTTCGATAGACGTTCCAATACTTCTACTCATGAGTTACAATCAATGCTATTCATCAATGAAAGGTTCCTATTCCAACTTTCATTCTCATATCGTTGAAATTTCTTTTTTACCTCCTCTCTCATAACCATTTTTTATGATAACTAAAAATCGTTTTTTTTTTCTTCCATTTATATAACAATGAAATCTATTCGTGGCCACACAAACTACGTTTTCCTTATTTCACTTTTTTTCCATCTCTTTTACTTACTTTCTTTTCTTCATTCATCTTTGTTCTCCTCACTTTTCTCCTTATTTCCTCACATTGGCCGTTTCTTGTTCACACGTTCTGAACGGACCGCAGTCATCTTCATTCCAGTCGGCTTCTCATACTTATAACTCTCTCACCTTTATTGTTTTTTTCTTCATATTCTCTCTCTCTGTTACTCTCTGTCTTCATGAAAGTATGCAAATATGCAAAATATCATTTTTGTTGAGATATGGGCTGTGTGAAGTAGTAGTGAATGCAAACCATTTTTGTATTCTCTCTCACTCTCAATTGCCTCAAATCATCTTCCTTTTCCATCCTTTTCTGTTCCTCAATGTTCTGCTAGCGTTTCGTTGGCCATTACGTAAATCTTTTCTCTTATTTGTATTATTTATCATTCATAATATGGTCGTTTTTTTTTGTTGCTTGACTTGCTTACTGTTTTGGTTTATCAGATAGATTCTCTGTTTCCATTCATCTATCTCTTTCCCTCCCTATCTCTCTCTCTCTCTCTCTTCATTTATCTATATATCTTACTTTTTCTCCTTTCTTTGCAATGTTGTCTGCACATCCTCATCATTCAGCCTTTTCATATTTCCGCATTTTGCGAACTGAGCTCTTTCTTATTTCATGACATTTTCGAATACCCCTGAGACATTTCTTTTTTGTGCTGACCAAACGAATGCAAAAACGTCTGTCAGCTCAATTGACTATGCATTAATGTGTGTTGGAATAGCATTTGATCACAGATTTATCAAGCTTTAAGTTGGTCTGAAAGAAGAAAACGGATAACTTAGCGCACACACACAGACACATAAAACTTTTGAAGCTCTCTATCCGAATACTGGGATATTCATTTTATGATTAAGAACAAATGTGGAAAGAGAGGAGAGGGGGGGGGGGAAGAGTTGAAGAAAGGGCTCTACATCAACATTGATGAATATAAGTTTTCTCTTCTTTGTTGTTTTTTATCTCTCATTGAAGGTTTCATTTGATTTGAACAAAAAATATTCTTCTTCTCTCATTCCCCTTTCCTCCCATCTCCTGCTCCTCCCTTTTCATAGAAATCCATATATCCATATACTATACCATATAAGGTGTTGTAGTTAATGTATGAACTATGATTGATGATAATTAATGACAGCTATATGAATATGATTAACAGTTGAATATTGGTAATTCCATATTTAACCAGCTGATCATGATTTGCTTTTTGAACAGTTGAGAACAGATTTGTGAGAACATGCTTCATTCATTAAGCTAAACACGAATACATTTTAAACCGTTTTTTTTCCTTTTGTTGCTTTCTTTGGCTTCTTTCCTTGATGTTCAATGTCTCATCCTCATCAATTAAGATATCTTGTCCAGTCTTCTAGTCTCTTCATTCTTCTGTTTTTCCTATTTCCTCCAGATGTTCCAGACTGAGGTGAATGTTTGGAGCATCAATATCATTGAGAACAAAAAAAAAGCTTCAAAATTCCTGCTTTTCTTTTCATTTCACAAAAACTTTTAGCTTCAATCTCTCTCTCACACTTTCTCTCTATAGCTTCCTCTTTGCCTTCCTCTCCCATTCTCTCTTTCCCTACATCTCTATCGCTCTATCTATCTTTATCCTTGTCGAGCTTTAATAATATTTAGAGAGTCTTCAGCATTTTCTGTGTTCTGTTCCCGAATACGTACATAAAAATATTTTATTTTTACCTTTTACTTCCATGTCGTCTCTCTTCGAATCTTTTCATCTCTTCATTCTGCTTCTTTTAATATTCGCAAAACGAATAATGAATGGGCAGTTTTTTTGAATTTGAAGCTTACTGTTCCGTAGAAACATGTAGCATATCGCATCGTTTTTCACAAATGCTTTTTGACATCTGGCTGTCAGTGTCTGTTCTCCTTACTTGGGGTCTTCACCCAGCCCGCGCTCACCCCACCCGCCTCTCTCTTCGATATATTTCTCCCTCTCTCTCTACACCCATCTCACCCATCTCCTTACATCTTGAATTGTTTGAAATATATTTTTTTTTGTTTCATAAAAGATGAAATAATGCTTTAGCTTCTGCTTCTGAATGATTTACAATTATATATTTTCAGGACGATTTTACAAAAAGTCTTCACGAATTACGGGCATTTGAGCCGATTCCTACTAACGACAACCACGAACGCTACAGGTATCCTCTATGAATTCTGAATTTTTAATATTATAAATCTATATTATAGAGAATATAAGTCTTTTCTTCCGATTAAACCATTATCAACATTTAATTTAACTTCTATCAAACACCGTAACGAGTCTAAGGAGCAACTCACACGACTCGATAATACAGGTATTGTTGTTCTCAGATTTTATTTTATTTTCTCCAATTATCATTCATTCTCTCTCTTTCTACATCTTTCTCTCTCTCTCTTTCTCTCTTTATTTTGATCTTCAACTCATTCCACTCTTTTGTTTGTTTGAGTATTGTAATAGTTGGTTAGCCTTTTCATTATTATCCAGAATCAATCACTGTCATAGAAAGGTGAATGGATATGACGATCGGCATCTTCAACTTTCATATATCTATATATGATGTTTCGTGATAGTTGAAGCTTCAATGTATCCATGTGTATCTATAATACTTCTGCATCGTGCAGATGAATTTATGCTTTGCTCTGCAAGTAGTTGAAGCTTCATTATATCTTTTATTATATTATTGTATAAAAACAGTCAAGAGAGACTGTTTTGAAGGAAGTTGAATGAGATTTGATCTTCTATTCAAAAATTAATTATATCTATATAATTAAGATTATATGAAATGATAGTAATGATTCTTAAAGACCGTGCTAATCTGACATCGGAAACATCTGACGTACTATCCAATTTGATGCTCGAGCTATTTGCTTTAAGATTAATTTGGCATTTGTTGTCTGAGAGAGAGTGTTCGTATGATTTCGGCCTAAGGTACATGAAGCTGAAATGTAGAAAGAATAGTCTTCTGACTGATGAAAATACAAAATTCTATATGAGTGAAGAGAAAAAGACACGAAAAAGAAGCCGAGATTGGTTTAATGTTTCTGTTGTGTGTCAAACATAACCCGACGGTTTCTGTTTGAAATGTACTGGATAGATAGTGAAAGATAGAGAGAGAGAGAGAGAGAGGGAGGCAAAGAGAGAGAGAGAGGGAGGAAGCAGGAAATGAAGAGAAGGAGGAGGAAAAAGGAAAAGAGAACGATAGAGAGAGAGAGAATGAGGTTCTCTTCTGAAATATAAAATTCACATAAAATCTTCTTCTTTTTTTTTTCTTTTATATTCATCCTCCATAATATTCTATTTGATATGTTATTAAGTTATCTCAAATGATCTCATCATCATATTCAGATGATCGTCCTGTGTTGAGACGCAAAAGATTTACTCGAAGACAGCGAAAATCAGTGACTATTGAGCCAGAAACTGGCTTGATCTTAGCTGCGGGACCACCATCTTCTAGTGACGAAGACGAAAGTTCTCGCATTATTCGCAAAAAATCTGTAAGTTTCATTTTTATTTTCATTATTTATATATTTATTTTGAAAAAAAGTTTTTGTGTGTGTGTGTGTGTTTCTTTATCCTCTATCTCAGTTTTTATTACAATTTGAACATCTGATCTGAATCTATTCCTTCTTCATACAGTTTTGTGATCTCTTTCTCTTTCAACTTCTAAGAAATAGATATTGATTGCTTTACTGAAATCGGAAGTTCGGTTTTTTGCTTTTCTTCTTGACAAACTATGATTCATGTCATTCGTTAGCCATTTTTGATTTCAATTTACTTACCAATAAGGGAGGTACTTGTAGTTGGCATGGAATTCATTTCATTCTTCATTCTTTCATGCTTACGTAAGAGAAGCTTAACCTCAATGTTACATCTTACTCATTCTCGCAGAACATTTTGTTTCATTCTTAACCCTTATCATTCTTATGAATTTAAATTCTGAACGTAGCTTGATTGAATTGTTTAAACGTCTTATCATCTACATCACAACTTACTTTTTTCCCTTTTTTTGTGTTCTCTCTCTCTCTCTCTCTGTCCCTCTCTCTTTTTCTCTCTCTCTTTCATCCCCACCGGAGATTCCCATTTGCTGAAAGCGGATGACAGTCAACCATTTATGAGTTTGGGTATTAACTGATTCTTGAACTACTTCCATGAAGAGCTCAATTCAATATTCTAAGCTCTCTCATTCCATATTTCTGAATGTTCCTCACAGTTCCTGCAGAGAGTAACTGCGCAGCATCTCTCTCCATATACATACATATGTATACATCCAATTGTATGCTTCTTCTCCATATTCTTTGAATTTCTTAATTTATACTTCTTTATCATTTGGTTAAGAACAGCATTATTCATTCCTCTTATCTTTGCCGATGGTTTTATTTTTAATTTGAATTTTCAACATACTTTTTAACTTTTATTTGCAGCCGTTACGACAACAGCCTAAATCTATTTCTGCCTCAACGTTTGAGCTTCATCTCAATCAAGCTTGTGATATCAAGAATTCACCTTTATCTAATACTTCATTTGCTGCAAAATCTGCACCTCGTGGTTTGTACATAATCCTTTTGAAACTATTATGGAATGGTGTTTCTAGGACCGTCAGCTCGAAGAGCTGGCCGACGGTTAGGCAAGCTTCAATACAAGAACGCTGCTTCAACCAATAACTTGGACGAAATCAGTGAAGCTCCATTCTCTTTAAAGTAACTATAACTAACTATGATCGTATATGATATATAATGTGATTGAAGGCCAGAAAAGCGATCAATGAGTGTACGTGATCTCAATGGAGAAGAATGCGATTTCTCTAATCGTGATTCTGTAGTCAAGTAATTTGAAATTGATATTCTTCATCTGATAAACCTTCGAACATTCAGATGGACATCTCAAATCTTGGCCGAGTTAAACTCATTACCTTCTAGCTGTATTGATTTAACACAAGAATCATTAGTAAATAATGATCGAAAGGATAGGAAATGGTCGACGGTACGTTCTCATTCAACTCTTCTCATTTCTAAGATAAATAGTATCTTTCTCTCTATTATGCATGCATATTCGGAACTCTCTTTCATTCTCTCTCACTATCTTTCTCTTTGAACAAAAATTTGCTTGACTGTAACTGCTTCTTGTCAGTAAGCTTTAATGCATGTATGGTGATGTTTCAGCTTCAATCACCGGCTGATCCTCCACCTATTCCACCACATCTATCATTGAATGCCCGTATGACACAATCTACATTCATACCGTTTGCTGATGATTCGTGTACCTGGCATGAAGCTGGCATGACATCATCAGTTCATTCGGATTGGAAGCCAGCCCATAATGGATCACGACGTCTGTCGTCGATATCGAATGTTGTCACACCCATCTTGGAAGATCCTAAGCTTGGATGGAATACCAATGACTTTACGCATTCCACGCCTGAAATAATGTCAATGGAAGCACGATTTCCTTCATCATTACAAGATTTGCGTACGATGATTCAAGATGATTCAGATGATTCCAGAAGAGATCGCGAGGTTATTCGTTTAGTTCATTGTTTTGCTATTGTTACACACAAAAACTGTACCAGACGCCCTTTTATTGTCTTCACATTGATTGGGATTTTCGTTGATTTAACACTTTACTGTTTTCAGGACAGTCTCAACACAAGTACATTAGTGGGATCGTCATCGGATTCCGATACCGGCACTCCATTAGCTTTATCACCAGTTCCAATGGATATAGTCGATGTATAACTTTTATGATTATTCTCATATGTAATCCTCCATTTACAGTTCCCCATGTTGTCTGAAAAGATATCCTCAACGACTGGTACTTCATCTCCATTGGAACGACGTTCTATTGGAGTTCAAGGACCGGAAACTCCTCTGTTCTATTGTAGAGTATCCACCGATATCGATAGTCCAATGGTATGGAAGTTTTATGTTGTTTTCATATAACTTAAATCATTTTTAAAGACAAAATCAGCATTTGCTCCTCTGCAAATTGTTCTATCGGATGAGGCAACTAATGAAAAACACATATTATCCACTGGAAGCTTACCACTTCCAAACAAACAGCCAGCTGCACCTGAAGAGCACGTAGTAGCTGAAGAACAATCAAAAGCGTCAGATAAGTCAGTGGAAGAAGCTGCTGTAACGGTAATTTATATGATTCTATATAATCTTTATAAATTGATTTCTGCAGGATGCTCCAGCTATTCGTATGAGGCAAACGATTCCTAGTGCAAATCGATACGAATCAGTTTTATTGAAAAACATAGAACGTCTAAGCAAGACAGCAGTTGAAAAGGTATGTGTGTTATGATTGTATCTCAATGAATAACATTATTATGAAGAACAATCCACGATACAGCCAAATATCAAACATCATGAATATGGAAGACAACTTTGGCAGTGAGGAAACGTTGAACAAATGGAAGAAGCGGGTTAGTTCACTTTCATTATTCCTTATCACCTATGATCATACTTGGTTAGGTAAGTACATTGATGCTCATCATATTCAAATTTTTATTTTTTTTTGTTTTGTTTATTGATGTTATCTATTATATATTATCCTTTGATCGTTTCATTCCGTTAAACCAGTAGGGTTTATGATCATAATTGGACTTTAGATTATTGGACTCATTTCTTCTCTTTCTCATACAAACACCATCATTTCAGTGGATTAGTTTATTATAGCATTGAATATCCTTCTCCCACTTTCCCTCCCTCTCTCTTTCTCTGCATCTCCCTCTCTCTCTCTCCCTCTCATCATTTCTCTCTTTTCATATTCTCTCAATATGAGACAAAAATCATTTTCGGACTGTCCATTGGCCAGCCAATAGAGCATATCTCTTGAAATTTCCATTTACTCAGCTTAATCCTTATCCTGCATGTTGCCTGCAGCCATAATGCTTTGTTCACCTTATCGAATGACAGATTATTTCCTGTCCTTCATTAGATTTTTATGTTTTGTTTAGCATTCTAACTATTTTATTTCATTTTTTTTTCTCTTTTAGTCTTCTTCTCCTACTTTACTATTGCAAAGCTACCTTACAAATTCTCAATTATGTTATTGAAGAGTAAAAAACTGACTTTGGAAGAGTCATGTGTGTCATGTGTGTTCTTTACTCTTCCTCCGTAAAGCACTCCAATAGTATTGCCATGCTCTTCATCCTGTTGCCTTTATGTTGAAGACCTTTTCTCTTTATTTCATCTTTTCCTTGCCATATTAGGCCATTATGCAAATGTAATCGTTCTTCAATAGAACCTTTGATTGTTATATAGCACATAACTTTCAGCATATCCGTTAGACTCTTTACGTCCTTCAACTTGTCCTTTTGGACATTCCTTTTACCTTTTTATTTGTTGCTGCTCAACAGTTCGTTACAACTCTTCGCAACAAATCCACAATAGGTGATTCCTTGAATATTCTATGTGGCTAGTTATGCATTACCTTTCATACTTCCTTCAAACTCAAGCATTTGTTTACAAAACACAAATGATTTCGACCTCTATGAGCTTCAGCTATAGCTAGTTTCAAGGCTTTAAATCTCTGAACAACGAAAAAGTGTTTCTAAATGAGGCTTGTAACACATATTTGAACTATTTCTTATTCGTTTTCCTTCTTCTGCGCATCGTTTTTCTTCTTCTCCTTCCTCTCCTTCTTCTACCTTCTTAGCCATTCTCTTTTCCTTCAAACGTTCTTAAATCCAAAGAATGCATTCTGTATGACTCTTTCGGATTACAAGTGTTTGACTTTATTAATTCAAATTTGAGTAATGAACAACAGACTGTCTCTTTCTCTCTGATAAATGCACTCACAGATTTAGTGAAAGAGGTCAGTTTGTTGTTCACTTCTTTCCTTCTTGTCCACTCCTTCTAGTTCTACTGTGTGTGATAAATTGTCTTTCTCACTCATTATTTTGCTTACTATCTCATTCTCTCTATCCCTCTATCATCTTTTCTTCTTTCTCTCTCTCTTCCATTCTCTTTTACAAAATGCTTGTCTGCCCTCATATGCTCTTCGTGTCAAGTTGTTTGTAAGTAGAATATTATATACCATGCAGTCATTCGAAATGAAACACTCTCTGGAATAGTTTCCAAGTACTTGTGAAGATTGAAGATACAAATAGATTAAGGATGTCGTTAGAAGCACACAGTGTATTACTTATAACTGCTGAATTGTTGCATTTATATACAAAAAGACATTTGTGACATATGCTGTTTTCGAGAGCAACTTACTCTGTTCTGTTCATCTCTACTTGTCTTTATCCAACATCCTCCCTTTCTCTCTCTCTCTTCCTCATTCTATTTCTTACTTATCTGTCTTTTTAGTCTTTGGTGGGCAGATAATCAACTAGACAGGTTGAAGATGTCTGATTTCTAATAACTACGCTATCTTTGATGCCTTACCTTCATCCTTTGAATGATATTGTTAGTTCTACAACTCAGTTTCTTATCTATCTCAAACGCATCTGTCTCATTCCTTCATTCTAATTTCCTCTTCATTCCTTTTTTGAAAGTTCCTTTTTTTGCTCTGAACAATGTCATTCCGTCTTACACTGAATGCCTTAGATTTTTCTAATTTTATTCTATTTATTAGTTGGTAATGAATATTAGAAGAAAAACACCAAAGCTTCATACATTGATTGATCCAGTACTATGTGTTGTCATCGTATGTCATATCATATTTGGACCTGACGAAGAGATTGAGCAACGCAGATGTTGCTTCCATCAAAAATTCATTTGAAATCTCTTAACTGTCTTCTATTATTATAATTTATATTTTCATTACGATAGCCATTCATCCCGTTTGACTCCATTTTCATTCAAAGCTATTTTTGCTTTTAAAAGACATTTTTTTTCTTCCTCTTCTTCTTCTACTTCTTCATCATCGCCTTCTTCTCTGCTAAGTTGCGCGTTGTGTGAGTCATTAAGATTTGGTCAATAAATTTCTTAACTTCTGAACTATTTCCTTTTACATTCTCTTTAACAATGTCATGCCGTCTTTCAAACTCTTTTTTTCTTTCCTTTCGTTTTCCATTTTTATTTTTCTTGATCGTAATAGCTCAAGCTATTGACATTGAAGGTTTGTTGATAGATCAAGCATTTTCCGTATTTCATATTGATTTTATAATCTTTCCTGTTAGGGAAAAATCATGTAATACGGTGATATCTTACATTCTATACTTTTCTTATTTTCTTCAATGTTGAGGTCTTAGGGATTTATGTCAAAGTAATACATATAAAACAATCTTTCTGTACTTCTTCTTGTCCGAGAATTACATTTTGATCTTGCTAAGCTTGAACATTAGAGCTTTTGCTGCAAAAAAACTGCATTTAACCATAAAAAGTGTAAAATTTGTTTTAACACTAGTCAGAGATTGTCTGAGATGAACTGTGATATGACATTCACCTAGAGCTTTGAATGTTTTATTTCATTTTTTAATGTTCCAAGCTTCCTTTAGTTAGTTCATATATCTCAACATTTAACTGTTCTATGACATTAAAGAGAATGGAAAGTAGGATAGGAGGGAGTAAGAGCTGAAATATTCTTATTAAGTTGTGACTTTTACTCTCACCGGCTTACTCTTGATATGATCCTACTTCAATTCATAGAATTTTTAAGGAAAATGTCAAACAGAACCAACAAAAAAAAAGAAAGAAAAGAGAAAGAGTGAAAGAAACTTTTGAGTAGATGACTTACTTTTCCATCATCTGTTCATACTATATATGGAAGAAAGTTCATTCCAATAACGTTTTCATTCGTTTTCATAGACTGTTGTTGTGTTGAAAAGTATTTATGGGCAATGGCCAAAAACGTTTCCTGAGGATATTTCTTGTTTAAGCAATTGTTTAAAAGAAGCTCATTTATTATGTTTGCTTATAATGGATTTGAGACTGAGCTGACCTTTCAACCATCTTCATCTCATATCTCGAGTTATTTCATTCTGAAGACTCTCTCTCTCTCTCTCTATCGTTCTCTTTCTCTCTCACTGTTTCACATTCTCACTTCATATATTCTTTTGTCAACTAATGTTGTTAGATATATTTTATTTATTTATTCTTCTCAGCCATCTAGTTAGATAGCCTCATGATGGTTGATTAACAGCTGAAATGAAATGCTTCAACATAGACAAGATAGAGGAGCATAGCTATTAGCTTAAGCTTCACGGCTTATGATCCAGCTCTATCTCTATCATCATTTTGACAGCAGAACGTTTCAAGTTTTCATGATCTGTTCAATGCCAATACAGAAATGTATGATTTTAAATATTTTTCTTTCACAATCGATCACCGATTGTTGACGTTAGTGTAGATCCAGAATATCTATACTGAAATGACTTTATCAGTTTTTCCTATTTAACTCTCATCATCATCATCATGCCCATCGTGTACTTCAATTCTCATGATCGTCATCATGGTTGCTATTGAGACATTCAGAATAACAACAATGTAAATGTTTCTGATAGATGTATATGTTGCTCTATTAGCCTTCAGATCTTTCAATTACAGACGATAAGATAGATTACTAAACGTCTTTCTAACTTTAGAATTCGTCTTACCCATCATGCCATATTTCTTTGCGTAGCTTAATTACGACTCTCAAGTAGACTTGTTCAATTTAGAGAAGAAGAAGAAGACGAAAAAAAACTTTCATTGAAGTTTTATAGAACATCTTGAGTTGATAATGCGTTTCTTGTCTTCTGCAAAGATTTCCAAACGTTCTCATCGGATGTTTGAATGTGAAAGATATAAAAAAGAAAAACTTCAAAGGTATTCTATCGAAACTCCAAATATGTATGTGTGTATTTGTACGAAGAATTGACGATTTCCTTTTCCATTCTTCAACATCTTCGTTGTCGTCATCGTTCTCTTCTTCTTCTTCTGCTTCTTCGTCTTCTGAATTGTATTTGATTATCAACAACTGCAAGCATTTCATTTATTTATTTATTCTCATAATCTTTTTTTTTATATTTAATTAAGTAATACATTTCAATTATTTGTATGTTTTGATTTGAAAAAGCCAAGGCTCCCTCAAATGCCCAGGTTTTACTCATTCAATTTGTAATGAAAATTGAAATGAAAAAGCTTTCAATGAGGAATATGCTTTCGTCCAGAAGCTTCTTCTTCTCTCATCTTCGTTTTCTTCTTTTTTTTTTTTACTTTTTCCTTGTTCCAAACTATATATGAGTAGATGAGTATCTAGATTAACTATATGCTTATAATGAAACTAGTTAATATAATTTTATGGTTAATCTCATGTCACATTATGCCAATAACATCTTCATTCATTTTAAGTATTCCTCTTTCAACTGTCTCAGCTTCTCATTCGGCTAGATGAGGAGAAAGTGCCTTCACTTGTTCCTTTTATCACCTCATCTATCTCGTCAGATCATCTGTTGCTCATTAACTATTTTTATTTCCGTATATGCCTTATATCATCTGAACCTTATCATACTTGAGCAATCTGTCACGGTCATTGGTCCATTTCTTTGTTATTCTCATCTCTCTTCATCTCATCATTCCATTTTCTTATATCTCTCATCCTACCTCTCTATGCATTCGCATGAAACGGTTGCATTCCATAACTCTCTCTCTCTCATACTCAATCTCGTTCTTCTATAATTCTCTCATGTTTTACCCTTTATCAAGGTATATCTTATATTTCTTTAACTCTTTCTATCTTAACCTGCCTCTCTCTCTATCTCATATTCATTTACATGAAGATTTTCTTATGACAGAACTTTCTCTTTCAAGGAAACAGATATGGTTCGCCATCATCCTCCTTCTCTCCTTCTTCACCACCACAATCTATGCGTCCGTTTGTCTTTTGTTTCTTCATCTTCATCTCCTTCTTCTTCTTCTTCTTCCAAAATGCACTTCTTATTCTTTGAATAATTGCGGTCCGTTCTTCTTTGACAATAGACGATTCCGTCTTAACTGTTGATGAAATGATATAATATATATATTAATATCATATAAATAGTGTGAATATCCTATATGTAGTGACATCATGCAATGATACTGTTTGACACTTCACCATTTTCTTTTTTTTTTCTTTTTTTTTTGTTTATTTAATCATCTTTCTACATTGAATGTTCATTATCATATGAAAGACACAGATCATTCCCTCCTTCATCTACTTCCTTATTTAGAAATAATATTAAATGAATAAGATGTTCCCACTCTCAAACTCTCATTCTCATCTGTTTCAATCTTTTCCTTGTCTTTTCACGTCTTCTCTCCTCTCTCTCTCTCTCCTTCTCTCTTCAACCATACTGCCATTGGTTTTTTTTCTTTTTGAATCCTGTGAATCGTGGATTTTCTCTTCATTTTAATAGAGTTCCTTTTTAAAACTTTTTTTTTTTTCATAATAACAACACTTTGAATAATCTCTCGATTTGGGTCAATCCAGTGTTTCTTGAGTATTAGACTGTCTGAAAACTGCTTGAGTCACTTATCTCAACGTTCATTCTTTCATTTTTCAATGAAAATTCATATTCACCCTCACATACATACATACACAGCATGCTCTATTTGAAAGTTTTTGATTTTATTTTTCTCGAATTTTCCTTTCATTTCTATAACCTCGTTCGTGATTGAAATAGGAAACTGATAGCTCTATAATCACCGTCACAACTGCATTCGATCATTTCCTATATTCATCTTGTTTCAAAACCTTTCTTTCCATATATTGCTATATTTGAATTTTGAACATTTCCTTCAACCAACTAAGCTTTGTTGTATACCTCACTTGCTATTGCCACATCTTCAGACCTTCACAGAGTGAAAAAGAGGGGAGAAAGAGAGAGAGATAGAGAGTAAGAGGGAGGAACGAGATGTTTCTCACGAGCATGTTGCTTTCTCTTGCTCTGCTCAAATTTCTTACTGAAAGTGTCTATTTCTGAGCTTTTCATTTTCGTTCTTCTATAATAAAACTTGTAAAAAGGTACTATTTTAGTATTTCCAATAACAGTCAAACATGTTATTGAACTGATTTTAGTTTCATCTTCTTCTTGTTACTTCTTTAGTCTCATCTTTTCGATTTTACCATCTGATAGTATCATTTCCGCTTTGATAACCTTCAACATCCTTTTTTTGTTCACATCACTTTATAACTTGTTTGTTTATCAAGAATTGTTTCTCAAAAAAGAATTATTCCTTCCTCCCTCTCTCTATATGCTCTTCTCTTACACTCTCTCTCTCTCTCTTCATACATTGCCATCTTCCTCTCTCTACAGTTTATGGTTAACATGTGTATTGAAAGAGAGAAGGTGATTCATGCATTTCTTAATTTAAAACACTTAGTCATACCCTGTTTGTCCTAATTTTATGCTTAAAAAAACATTTTTCTTCTCTTCCATCACACATACAAACTGATTCGTGTAGACCTTTAAGTACTTTTCCACCTGTAACTACCTTTTTCTGCATTTTCGTTACATTTTACAATCTGTTATAGCAGAAGGTAAAAAAGAAACAGGAAATCTAGCTATAGAGAGATGTTATAGAGAGAGAAGAGAGAGAGAGAGAGAGAGAGAGAGAGAGAGAGAGAGAGAGAGAGAGAGAGATGTGAGGGGGGAAAAGAGTATGAAAGTTAGGAATAATAGAGCTCTTTTACAGTCAATTTGTTGTTTTGATCTCTAATATCTCTTAACTTCTAATAGTGTTATAAAAGCCACGGGTTAAAGAAGAAGTTTTATGGCTGCACTAGAGAGAGACTCTTTCAACTGAACGAGCGAACGACCGACCGACCGAACAGAAAATTGTTAGTCGTAAAGATTTTCTTATTAGAACATCAACAAGCACTTTCATAAACATATTTGTATCATATTGTTTCTAATCATATTTGACAATAGATGAATGCTGCTTCTTCTCTTTATCCATCCATAAGCTTGTTTTTGTCACTTCATGACCATCTGTGACGAAGGTGTGAGAGCAGAAGCTTCCATTCTCACTTCATTCTTCTTGCTTTTCTATACTTCATTTTTTCAATTTCAAATATACTTATAATTCACGATAGTATTATTATTATTATTCTCTTATCATTCACAGTTTTCACTTGTGGTTTTCACTCGATAAAGGCATCTGCTTCGAGACATTATCTATTTGGTGGCTTCTTCTTTCGTTTGTGTTCGTCTCTTCGTCTCTTGTCTCATCTAATTCAGAATATTCAAGAGGTGAAACGATGATGATTCTGGCAATGATCTTGTGGCCATTTGAACATCATCATCATCATCTCCTTGTCTACCATTATCATCATGTGGGCTAGTCATTTTAATTGTTTTTCTTTTATCTTTTCCGACAATTCAGTCACTCGTTTTTTTTTCTTCTCTTCTCACTTGTCTTCTTCTCTCGATATTGCACTCTTGGCTTTTATGACAACTTAATGATGTCTGTTCATATACTCGTATTCGTATTGTGTTCTATGCTAACTTATTACATATAATATAGATAGACCGTTGATCTGCTTGTATGAATACATAGCATATCTAATAGCAATTCATTTGTGAATTGAATTTACCATATTTGGATTAATTGATAGACGAACATCATCATATCATAATCATCAGCTGCTGTATGAGCCATGTTGCCATCTCGTCCTTGTGTATGTTCAATTTATGATATTCTAATGAGTTGCATCATGAAACTATAAACCAGTATGATCATAAGGGAATACATTCCAGTCATATTCTTTTGTTTCTTTGAATTTTCTCTTATCATTCTATTTTAAGGCGGAATGTCGATCAAGAATTGACATAAGCAATGCTGCCGCTAATGAGGTGCCATCAGTAGATCGTGTCATAGCTTCACTGATACGAACAGTCGAAGAAACACGGTTTACAGCTCCAGATCGTCCACAAAGTCTTGGTATAGATCAGTTAAAGCCACAGGTATGCTTTCAAGTAAGATTCTGATAAATCATTGTTTTCATCTTCTCAGGACGCTACAACTCAAACATCTCCGTATTCCATTTCACGTTCATCATCTTTCGATTGGATAAACGATATGTCAGAAGGTCGCTTACGAGACTTGAATACTCCAGTCTGTACGCCAAAGTATGATTTTCATATTATAATTACAATATTCAATTTGCAATTGTAGAACTGATGCATCTGTATCTGCAAACTATATATCAAAGAACGTAGAATCGTCATCAGAAACAGATGATGCTGATCGTGAAGTAGCTGAGGTTACTCGAAACGCCATTCTCTGTGATCAAATCGTTGCACCGATTGTTCCACAGAAGCGATCAGCTTCTGCTGAAAGAGCTATTAAAAACAAAAAGTTTGTTTAACAAAAGAAATAAAAAGACTTTTTTTGTTACAAAATCGTTTTTTTAGGCTTTTTGATGAGATGGAGGAGAGCATTGCCATGTTATTACAATACGGGGAAGAGTATAAACCAAAACCTGTCCCTCGTAAGAATATCTCAAAGGATGTTGAGCCTCGTCGGAGAGCAACACAAGGTTTCCTTATTTGGAGTTCTTAAATAATCAAAAATTATTTTTAAAGAAATACGTCGACCAGTTCCTCAATTCCCAATGTCTGAGAGTATTTATGATAATATGTGTAATAAGCCTAGATTAGCAGGTTTGTTTTGAACCTCCTATGCTGCTGTTAACTGCTTCATTATTTGCAGAAAAAGACTCTCCGATTGTATCCAAGAGAGAGAATGTTGTTAAAGCTACAGTCGTCACTGCTGCAAAAGCATCGATGGAAGACTTGGGTGATTCTAAGGTATGAACAGCAGCAATATCAATTCAATTCATATTTCCCTGTTAAGGATGATGACAGCCTAGCTATACCCATGTCAGCTCAACGAGCTGGTAGTTGTGAGCTTCTGAACAAGATTCCGGAGGTAAATATCGTTTGTATATTATGTTGAAATAACATTTTCGTTATTTTTCCAGTCACCATCTGCCGGATTGAGGGATAAGCTGAAATTAGCAGGTACGTGTAGCTTTTTTTTATTTCATTCCGTTTGTTAGTGAAATGCTGATGATCATGTTGTTAGCTTGATTGAGCAGCAAAAAAACCGGAAGATGCATTTTGTGTCTCATGGCCATAATCTAGCTTATTCTTCTTTTGGGACTTTGCAGTTGCTTCTCCTCCTTCTTCATCTTTTTTTCCTGTTACCGTTTCGTATGTTTTTCTCCTTTTACTGTCCCTCTCTCTCTTGCTATCTCTCTCTCTCAATGATTGCTTTTCTTTCTCTTTATTTCTATCTGATTAGCATTGCCTTCCGGACATTGAATGTGTTCAAGAGAGAAAAAAAAAGAAAAAAAAAGAAGAATTTTTGCTCTTTCGCTTGTGCTAACCGTCGAGCCTATCCTTAAATCTGTTTTCCTTCAGTATTTCTTCGTTAACAACACAAAAGATAACAAAGACGATGCTTCGTAGCAAAGGTTGTAGTTGACCATCTTTGCTAATTCGTTCTGTCCTTTTTTGTATTTTTTAATATTTTTTTTCGCCTTTCTTCTCGCCTTGAGATACGTTCTGAGAGTACGGAATGGGAAGACGTGCTTCTACACATTCATCCTTCGTCTTCTTCACATAATTCGTTTATTTTGAACAAAACCAAATATATGATCTCATCGATTCATCTTTTTTCTTTTCTTCAAATCTTCTTTTGTATCGTTTACTCGCTTTAGTATTGTTATGAGAAGGCAAGTTGTATTCATGTGTGAGCATCTCTCTCTATCTACCAAAAAAGGAAAAGCTTCTTATTTCTTTCTTGAAGTTACAGTCAGTCACGCTTCTTGCTCTCCCTCTGTTGCCTTCTCCCACTCTCTCTCTCTCTCTGTCCTTAAATTAAATTCTCTTCCATCTTTTTTCCGAGGTTTTTCATTTGAAGCTTTTCCATAACCTTTTTACATAAAAAGGAGGAAAGTTTGAAAAGTGACACAAAGCGAGAGAACGATGGAGGTGGAGGAGGTGGGAAAAGAAAAATTCAAAAACGATGATACAGAAGATGAGCATTACATCTACATTCATATATTTCTGTTGAGTTATGATGTAATCAGATACATTTATCAGACTCAATCTAACCATTTCTTTTCATTTTCATTTCTTCATCTGTATCGTGTCGATGCTCTCTTCCTTCTCTCTCTTTCACTCGCTCTTTAAGCTTTTTCTTTTTGATTGAAACGATGAAAGCACATCTCCATAGTTTTTGACCTTTGATAGTTTGAAGTTGTTGTTCGTGAAGGTTCTCCTCTCTAACCTTCTACCAATCCATCTTTCATATAGTTATAGTATAATTAAGTACAATATACTGTACATAATTGAATATGAAAGTATATATGAGAGAGAAGAGGAGGAGAAGAAGAAGTTTCTTGAAAAACTTCTGAAAAAGACCTTCAAATAGCTCAAATGATTGTTTGCTTTGCCTAGATTCTATCCAGGTTATGTGAATGACCATATTTGAAACATTCACATCTTCATCATCATTCCATATCCACCATTCCATACGAATATCAGAATGATGAAGATGTTAAGAAGCTTCTTCATGTGTCCTCTTCCACCTCCTCCTCCTTCGTGTTCATTGATTCCCTTTGCTCACCTCATCACTCCTATCTGTGACATACTCAAACTTCATAACTTGAAGTATATTCTTGATTTCTATTGTAGATTTCTCTCTCTAAAAACGAACGATTTTTGTGATTGTCTCAACAAACATCATTAAGATGATCATATCTCTTACTTTTGTTCACTTTTTTTGTTAAATTTTAGACAATTTATCTTGTCAAACAGGCTTCTATGTCGTTGTCTTTGTCTTTTTCGATGATTAAGATACACAAAGAGCAAAGATGAGACGAAACATTGATAGTTTTATTAAATATAAATAAGAAATATTATATAATTCAAGGAGATCTCAGACAGTCTCACAGAATATTGTACTCAAACTGTCCGATTTTACCTCCATTCCCTCCCTCCATTCCCTCTTTCCATTCTTGATTTCCTTCTCTCTCTCTCTCTCTGTCTTTTTATCTCTCTCTCTTCTTATTTCCCTCTTTCTACCTCATTCCCTCTCTCTCCATCTATTTCTCTGTTCCTACCTATTCCGAACAGTTTGAGATCATTTTGGTCTTTTATCCGTTTTGATGAAGAATTCAATTGAACTCTTCAGCTTTTCATGTCAGATGACATGATTTTGAGAATTAGCTTTGAGAGTGTTAGCTTAGAATCAATCTATTTGATTTTCAACCTTCATTTTCAACTCAAGAATGAAAAAAGATTAAAATGACAAAAAGATAATTAGAATATTTTGATTTTAATTAAGCTTTCTGGTAAATATGCCTTTGCTCATATGTTATTATCATTTCGTTTTTTGAAAAAAAAAGTTTTCTGATTTTTAATTCTTCCGTTCTCTTACTATCACCTTAGCTTCATCTCTCTCTCTCTCTTCCTCTCTCTTGCTTTCTCAAACTCTTCTTTTGACACTCTTCCAGTTTAGTCTCTTCCTGTAATACTCGTGTACTCTTCCTCCACCTCTCTCTCTCTCTTTGACTCTTCCTATTGCATAAGTCAATTGGATTGCTTTACCATATTGTTTTACCAACAACTTTTGTTGCTGACAATTCGGGCCTTTTAAATGATGAGCACGTACTTACGTGATGTTGTCTTCGTCAATCAAGCCATCTTTCAAAGCTTCTCTGACACTTAAACTGTTACAACTTATTTAAAGAAGTGACCAGAAATCAAACGGTTGTTGTCGTAACAGAGAGAATCAGAAACAGTCTGAGTAATATGCATTTCACAGCATAAGAACGTCATTATCATCATCATCATCATAAGATGTTCCTTAATTATAAAGGAAAAGCTGTGATTTAATTTACTCAATCTGCCTTCATCATCATAATTGACGCGAACGATTCATCTAAAGCTTCATCTGTTAACTATACGTAATGAAGGCGAAGATTATGAGATGCGATAATCGTTTCCGTTAGCCTCTTGTAAGCTGTATTCATGAACACAGTAAAGTCGTTTTGAGTAGGCTGTGTTGCTTATCAGTTACGATTAGTTCTCCTATGCAGCAAGACGTGTATTCTACTACAGCTTGTATAGTATACAACTTGTTGTTACTTACTATTCTATAATTCTCTGAATCGTTGTATGTATTTCAACTTCATATGCTCTATAGCCTCTCTAGATGTCAAAGACTATAGGAAGCTGCCTATAACCAATGATTGTCTTAATTGAAGAGCAGAAGCTGATTCTTCCATGTCAAGCTGGATGACATTTTTATTTAAGCGCTTACTTTATTGTCAGAATATTCGGAAATTAATTGATGCTTTACTACCATTATTGGTAAACGAGATGACCTTTAATTGAATGATTCATTAGAATCGTCTGAATGTTTGATCGAATTTGTTATCTTCGAAAACGTATTTGGATTAAGCTCGCCTACGCCTGTCTAACAGCCAAATTTGATAATTGATGATGAAGCTATTTCTGTGTTATACAATTATAATTATTATTATTATACATATATAGTAATAAGAGAACATTTGATTGCAAATTTCATTTTTGTTTTGTTATTTCTCTCTCTCTCTTTCTCCGTCTCTCCGTCTCTCCATTTCCATCTCCTCACTGACTCATATCTCAGATGATTTCTCTTCTTTTTTCTTCTTTTTTTTTTTCGTTTCCAAGCTATGCTTGTCCAGATCATTGGTGACTTAAAACGTATATTCTGGTAATAGTACGTTAACAAGGAATCAGATTTGCCACTTCCTCTTCACTCCTCATCATACCTGTCATTATCTTTTCTCAGATAGATGCATGAACTATCAAGATGTTCATGTTGGGCAAGCTCATTGCATAAAGCTCAGCATTCATCTGGTCATGTTGTTGACTATCAAACCTATTCAGCTGATGATGCTATGTAACCGATAGCCAAAGGTAGCTTATCTCTTCAAGCTACATCATCATCATCAGTATCATCTCTTCTACTGACCGATAGCCAAATGCAAGCCATCTTGTGACTATACCTTTCCCTCTTCTCCCATCATCATCTCTTCTACTGTTCGCGGACAATATTTTTCATTTTTTGTTTGAAAGAAACGATTTTGTTGATTTTCTCTTTGAACTTTTCCGACAGAAAAATGTTGTAAACGTTTAACATTAGAAATGATGAAAAAGTTCTAAAAAAATATTTGAAAACTAATAGAAGGAGCAATTGGAGGAAGAACTTGTTGAAGATGAGCCGACGAACAGATTTGTAATGTCTTGTTCTATCTGAATTGGCTGTGATTGTTTCGATGATTGTATCTTTTATTATCAGCTTAAGCTGTTTGACTCTTTATTGAATCTTCTAAGGCAAGACGCATGGAACGGTTGACTTCATATTCTCCTCTTCACAATCTTCTCTTTCATTCCTTTTCTCTCTTTCTGTACTTAGGCTTCTTCTACGAAATGATCATCGTCTTTTAATATGCATTCTCTCTCTCTCTCTCTCACACTTAGACTCTCTTTATCTATCTTATATATCTCTCTCCAAAATTGGAGTAAACTACGGAAACACTTAATTAACATTAGAGCGAACATCCTCTCATCTTCATAATGATTTCATAGTGTTAGCCAGCCTCATCTTCTCCGTTCTTTCGCTTGCGGGCTAGTGACGTCAGGTTTCTGTATATTGTTCAGCTTACGTCTGCGCCTTCTGAGCCACTCTACTCACAAGCTGATGATTGTCAACTATTACGATGAAAATGTGTCTCTTCTTCTGTATATATGAGGAGTGAATGAAGCGCACATAAGAAGGTTAACCCTTCCATTCTTCAGCTGTGTTTCTTTCATGACTGATAGAAGAATGAGAGAGAGAGGGGGAGGAAGAGAGGGAAAGATAGAGAGATAGTGAAGATGAATGATTAAAATGCATCTAAAAAAAGCATTTTTTTATTTTTTCGTCATTTTCTTATTTTTCATTATATAGTTAAGCAAATTATTCTATTCATAGAATGGCTAGTTCGTTATCTTGATTTAACTATGCGTATATAGATGTGTATATGTATGTACATGTAGGCTGTATGCCGTATTATCTTCATCATTTTAATTTGTTTTGATATTTTACATCGCTCTTACATCTTCTTCCATATACATACATACACATACTACTTGTGTTAGCTTACAAGCTGAACAAGTTATCAAAGCCTCAGTCTAATAACGTCTTTTGTTCATTAGAATGTTATTAGTTTATCTCTTCATGATTTTAGTTTTTTCCTTCTTCTTCCCTTTCTTGTTTACAATATTATTTCTTTGAATACTCCTCATCCTACTTCTTCCTCTCCCCCACCACCCTCCTCATCTCTCTATATCTGTATATCTCCCACCCATCCTTCTGTGTTGTTGTTAATTGGCTGTGCTGATTGAGGCATTATATCATTTGATGGACTTTGTTGTCACTATGATGCCATGCAATTGGAACGAGGAAAAAAATTTTTTTTTTTACTAAAATGGCATTTGCTCGACTAAAGTTGTAAAACCTCCATCTGACTCTCTTCTCCTTTCCCTCTCACCTCTCTCTCTCTCCTGCACTCTCCATCTTTCCAAGAAATGAGACTTCCACTTGGCAGAAGCTAAAAAAATTTTAATCATATTTTTTTGTGTTCTAAAGAATTGGTCGTTTTGTTAATTGAACACAGTTCTGTTAATGAGTCGTCATTTCTCCGGTTCATGAATTTCATTTGGCGTTTTTCTTCTTATGCTTCGTCGTCATCATCTTCTTCAGCATTTGCACGACAAACCTCACATGAGATTCTCTGTTGTCACACAGTGTTCGCTCTTTCGTCTTCTTCATCATCATCGTCATCATCTTCTTATTCCATTTCTGCTTTCTACGATGTGACATGGAAAAGGAAAAAAAAGAAAATTTTCATATTTGACAAGGACACTCTCCTTCAAAGAGTTATTCGGCATAAGAATGGTGGTTGTCGGATTAATTTACATATTTTTTCGGTTTACTATCTGACCTTCAAGCCATTCAATCTAAAAGAGAAGCCGTTATGAAAAAAGCTCTTCCTCTCCTCTCATCGTCTCCACCTGTCGTCAATGTGTCGAGATTTTGTCAGTTTGACGGCTTCCTCCTTTTTTCATTTTCACATATTCTCACTTTCGTCTGAAATTTCTCCTCATCCGGATTGTGATTGAACAACGTGTAGATCAGCGTTCCGTTCATCTCCCTCTGTCTTCATTCCTCTCTTCCCCCCCCCCCATTTCTCTCGCTCATTACATTTGCTGGTTAACTATAACCATTTATATCTTCTCATATAATTATAATTATCTTAATGATGCCACAACGACAACACTTCCCATGCTGATGGTTTTAAAATCGATTTTTAAACAAATTTTCCTTGAAATATAAAATCCAAAAACTTGCTAAAATGGCATATTCAATTTCCTATATTTCAATATTATGTTATAGTTAAGAGAGAGAGAAAGAGAGAGAGTGACAGAAACGAATTTCGATGTTATACAATCTCAATGAGTTAATTATGTGATTATATAAGATGCATCAAGTACGTTTGCCCTTATCCTCCATCCTCCATCCTTATTCTTATCAATTAACGTAAAGAAAATTTTATTTAGTCAAGGGTCAAACTGTTTAATTGATTCATCTCTATAAGGAGTGGAGAGGGGGGGGGGAGTTGTACATGGGGTGGGAGGGCAAAAAGAATAAATTGTGTTGAGTAAGGAGATGAACTGTAGTCAGATGACCTTCAACATCTTCTTAGGCTCTTCTTCTTCATCATTTAGCCCCAAGTTGCTTTTCTTTTCTATAATTGTTGTCGTTGTCGTCGTCGTCAAGTAGAAGGATGAAGAAGTAGAAGGAGAAATCAGAAAAAAAAAGAAATGAAAAAACGAAAGAAAATCTCTTTTTTTCTTTTCTTACTCTTTTCATCTGAAATAGAGAGAGCCGTTTCGTATAACTGATCTTTCATCTGTAAAGATGTGTATGTATGAGAGATTTCTTCTGATTCACAGATTTGCCTATGAATCAGTGTCTTCTATCATTTTGATAATCTATTTCGCATCAACAAGCAACATCAACCAGAACCCAGATGCGAGAAAGGCAAGAGGAAGTCGTAGAGAGAGAGAGAGACAAGGAGAGAGACATAGAGAGAGAGACAGATGAGATTACATGCTTTTTACCTTATTTTCCGTTCATTAAAACCCTTTTTGTTGTGTTTTATTTTAAGCTGAACTAGAAACCAAGTGTAAACCTTGATGTTGTTTCATCTCTTACCATTCCAGATGTTTCGTATTTCATTCGTTTCTAAAAGGTAAAAGCCATCTGTACTCTTGAAACTCTTCGTTTCAACTCCTTCTCTCTTGCCCTATCCCCCCTCTATTCCTCATCCTTTCTTCCATTCAATCATTTTTCAACATTAAACAATAAAAAAATCTTTTTTTCTTCATCCATACTCACTCTCTCTCTCTCTCTATCTCCCAATGTATCAAAAAGAGAAAGAGGAGAAAAAAAAGAAAGTTTTCATCTTCAATAAGGTTGATAGCCTTTCATCTGATTCATCTGATGTACGGCAATTCACCGAATTTCCATTTTTGATCGACCGTATCTTTCAATGTCTTCAATGCTCTTTTTCTTTACTTAGCTTTGCCTCGTCGAACATGGAAATATCCTTTTTTTTTGTTCAAATTTACATTCCTGGCTATTTGAAATTAAAAGAAAATATTTTCTCTCTGACTGTCTGTCTCTCTCTCTATCTTCATATCACTATCTTCTCTCTATCGCACATCCCTCTTCTCTCTCTCCCTCTCCCTTACTAATGAAATCAAAAGATAACGGAAACGTTTGAAACTTGAAGTTTCACTTTGTAAAACTATTTTTTAATCAAATATTACATCTGTTTCGCATCTGCAGCTTCATCTACTTTATGTTTTACCTTTAGATGGATTGCATGTCCATAAAGACAAATTAGGTCAAATGGAGACATATGTCTTCTTCATCTTACCTCATCTATATTACCTCGTTCTTCTTCTTCTTCGCCTTCGCCTTCACCTTCTTCATCTCCTTCCATCATTTGGATGCGAAAGAACAAAAAAATGTCTTTTCTTTGTTCATGTTATCATTTCCATTTGACCTTTTTTTTGTATTTTCAACTTTGCGTGTGAAAGATTGTTACCTATCCTCTTCCGGTTGTCTCTTGTGTATGTGTCTGTGTGTGAATTCGGCAATCACAGAAAGAAAATAGGAAATCTGTACAGATTAACATTTTATTTGGTTTATTTTCAGAAAAAGAAGCTATTGAAGTGTGTCAGTGGCTGATTCAAGCAGGATTTCCACAATACGCTAATCAGTACAAAGGTAACTTTCCCTTCTAATTCATATTTGTATTTGCAATATCTCTTCTCTCTCTATCTTCATCTACTTGTGTCGGCTTCTTTGAAACAATCTTCGTTCAATAATCGTTTTGAAGATATTCTCGCTTCTATCTGACTTTCAGTTCGCTGTTCTCGTTTATGATTATTTGATTAAGCCAAATGCTTGTTCGATTTAATTTTTGTCATTTGAATTTAAAAAAGAAAAAGAAGAACTGGAGATAGAGAGTGTGTGTCTATGAGAGTGTTTAGAGCGGTTAGTATAAGAACAAATCGTATTGATCACATCAATCAAATCAATTGCCTTTTTTTGGTATTAAATGAAGAGGGGAAGAAAGGAGGAGAGGAAGGAAATGACGACGTCCTTAATCAAATGTTCGCTTTGGTGACGGACATGATGCATTTGTCGAACTTGAACCCACCTGTGGGCATCTTCTTGTTCATCAATTTCTTTTTCAATCTTTTTTATCATCTGTTTGCATTTTGTTTGATGTGGACATCGTTGATGAGAAGATATTGTTGTCAACGACGTCGTTATTGTCCATCGACGTCCATCTTATTCGTTGTTCTGTCTTTCGTCAATCACATCTTGTTCTTATGCAAGAAATCAGATGATAATCACATAATATGGCTTAAATTATAATTAAGCTTAAAGCTGTCGTCTTCAAATCCAATTTTCTTTTTTTTTCTTCTTTTTTTTTGTCACCAAAAATCTTTCTTCTGTCTGTCGTTGTGTCTCTCTTCCTTCATCATCTCAACAACCTCCATGTGCATCTGAATATTGTTCAGATGAACATTGAAGCTTTTTATGTTTTTGTCTCCAAAAAAGGAATTTCTCGTTTAATTGAAAGAGAACGAAATGATGACGAGAGACGGTTCAAATGTTCTTTGGAAAAGAAATTTTGTTTTTATTTGCAAATCATTTTAATCTATCTGATCCACTTACCATTTATGGACTTGTTTCAAATGGTATTCCTCAATACAATGATGAAGATGAGAATGCATTGAAGAAAAAAAAAGTTTTTCAATTCTCTCCTCGTGTCGGCCTCTTCGCTTGACTTTGTATTCCGTTCGAATATGCTTGGCCTTCCATATTAAGTACAAATATGGTTAAATGGAAAGAAGTAAGACAAGACGAGTGAGAAGATGAAAGAGAGAAGGGAGAAAGAATGGATGAAGAGATGAATCGTGTAACACTCAAACACAACCATCTTCACATGGCAGATTGGTAGAGATGGACGCGAAAGACGATGTTAGTTCTATACCAGGGCCATAGCCTGAGGCGAATACAAAAAAGTCCGGTTTTTGAACGTTTGGATGAAGATGGGTTCGGGCGTGGGGGGTTGGTGGAAGGGGAAGGATATAGGGAGTAGGAGATGAAGATAGGCTTCTTCTAGGCAACAAAAGATGAAGCATAGTTTTGATGATGTGTTAGAATAGATGGAGTGACAAATGGAAGAGATTGAACATATTAATGTGGAGGAGACTTTTGACGATATGGGATATGGACAAGATATCATACGTTATAAGCTTTTGGTGGATATGATAATATGAAAGAAGATTGAGAAGAGAAAAAGATAAGACAGAAAGCAGTGGAACAACGTATGGTTGAACCTTCTGAAATGAGAAAATAAATTTACTTTCTCAAATCATCTGCTCTTCCAGATGTCTTTCGCCTCCTCATTCTCTCTCTATCTCACATGTTGTTATGTAATCCCTGTTCTGTTGTTTTGATTTTATCTCATTTCATTCGAAGGTAAAACTTTTAATGAAATCATCTTGATTCATTAGAAAAATATTTTTTTCAATTTCAACTTTTCGAAGAAACCTTTTGTAGCTTTCAAAGTCTCTCTCTCTCACACTCTCTCTCTCTCTCTCTCTCGGTCGCTTCAACCATTCCAAAACCAAATATGGAATAGTCTTGAAGTTTCCTTATTTATTTCAAATAGTCACATTGACTTTTCTCTTTTTTTTTCTTTGCCGGCTTCACAGCTCTATTCTTCTCCATCTTCTAAAGCATCTGGTTTAATTTTTGATTTCTGAAAACACATGCCATCAGATTCTCAGGCCTTTTTTCTCTGACTGTTGACTCGTGGTGTTTCTACAAACAAAAGACTAATATATATTATCATATATTCTCAAATATTTAATTCCTTGTTGCTATTTCAGAAGGCTTAGTCCCTATCGATTTGAATTCAGTGAAGAAGGATCACGAATTCCTTGAGCCAGACAGTCTTAAAGCCTTATTCCGTCGTTTGGATACATTGAATCGATGTGCCATAATGCGTATTGATAACGTCGTTCTTAGACGCAGGGTATGTAACTACTATATATGAACAAATATATTATATTAACTATATGTTATAGAACGATAATTACGCCTATGATATGTACAGCTGTGATGAAGATGATAATGTAAGTTTTTCCTTTTTATTTTTTACTTTTTTTAATCGAATTACTTGATAATGACCTGATTAGGTGATATGTTTTCTCATCATTCTCATCTCATTGGGGTCATATTACATTCGCTTGCTTTTCAAATTACTCCACTCAAACTCATTCAATTATCGTCATTTTCCCAAACACTTTCTGAGCTTTTACGATTTCGTAACATTTGAATTTTCAAATCAACATCATCTAATCACTCATTGTTGATGTTATGTTCAAATGGTTAATCCCAAATATCAGGTTGCCCTATCGGGAAATTGGCAGTATCAGCGAAACTCCCACACCTGGTCTCGTGTAGCCAATGAACCCATGTACGGAGCAGTAGGACGAGTTGTCTCAACTTCCCAATCAACAGCGCAGCAGAATGGGTATAGGTATGACGGAAAATAAAAATTTATTTCGAAAAATAATTTTTAGGGATCCCTATGTCGTCAAATCAAATCGTCATTCTCCTTATGATGAAAGATCAGATCATCATCAAGTTCGTATGGATCGTTATGATCAACAGCATCAGAATGAACAACTTTCTACTTCCGATTTGTTAGTTTTTGACTTTTTGTTTCTCAAACTCATTGCTTTTTTGCTTTTTCTTTTGTTTTTCTCTTCTGCTAGTCAACAGAAATCACAGAAATGAGAGAAAATCCTCACAAAACGGCTGCTTTCTATTCACTTCCTCCCTTCTCGTCTCTAATTATTAATGTTTAAGGCCAGCTTCGAAGCTATCGCGATCACAGAGTGAAAGAATAAAGGATACAGCAAGAGCTTTTATGAAACGAATGAATCCAAGATCTGGTAGTAGGTAGGATACATATAAGGCCTCTTCTTTCTCACAATTGTATTTGTTCAGAAGACGAAGAGAATCTCGCACACGCGATGCTTCTCAGTTGAAGATATCAGAGCCAGTTCTGTTGAGTTATGACTCGGCTAGTCCAGAATGTATGCAAATGATGAATAGGGTACAGAGACCTAACATGATGCAAGGTATTTCAATCATCTTCTATTCTTTTCAAAAATCACTTCATGTGATAAACAAAGACATCCGATTGGTTTGATTATAACAGTGTGCTTACATGGCAATGCTTGCGATGCATTGCCATTCGTGTTTTTCCTTTTTGTTTTAACGAAATCATAACAGTTTTACCTTTTTTAACTGTGAAAGCCAAAAAACCTCTTTTCCGATCAAAATTACAACAAATAACTTGAAATCTTGTTTAATTCTTCCAAGCACTAACCGTTTAATCGTTGCGTTTGCTCTTCAGAACGAGGTCGTTCATTAGCTGATCGGCCTTCGCGATCGAATACTAATCGTCGTCAAGGAGTTCTGCTTCTCACACCAACATCTCCTGAATCCTCACCCAATGATGATTTAATACGCGGAATGAGACATCGTGATCGAAGTATGCCTCCGAGAGCCTATTACGATAGCCAAGCATCTTATGCCAACCATACTGGATACGGATATGATAGATCGAGAAGAGATCGAAGTATCGTTGATGATTATCTGTATCAAGACAGCCCTATCACATCAGCAAGGTAATGCATTATCAATTATACTATATTAACTAGATTGTGAGTTATGTTATAAGTTTAACAATTGGTCTTTAGATCTCGTGCTACTTACCTACGTCAGCCGTATTTGGATACGAGCTTCAGTCCTCTGTATGGTAGTGGAGCATCTTCTCCCATCTATAGCAGCCCATATAGCAGTCGTTCATTTGCAACCCCACCTTCTAGATCCAGACAGCAATTGAATATACAAGCTGATGGCTATTTTGTGCATGGTATTTACCTTTTTCAACAAACAATATTCGATAACATTTCTCAAAATGAGTTCTAACCTGCTGATTAGTATAATTGAATACATATATTATATATATTAAATATAATATACGTATTATGCATGATTCACTATGCTGTGCTCTAACATGACATTCGAATTTTTCATTTTTGAAAAGCAATTGAAGATGGAATTGGATTCGTTTTCCATCGATCACCTTGTTCTCTTTTCAGGATCTTCATTTGAGATTTCACCCGATACCACTACCACTAGGAAAACTCGACCATTCACTAGCTCTCCATCTACATCAGGAACCGTATTAGCTCCTCAACTTCGTGTTGATACCCTTCGTAATAAAGTAGGAAGCCTTAATCCTGTTAATTTCTTAAACTCCATATTGATTACAGAGTCAGTCAAGCCTAGAGAACACTGATGAAGAACAGTGTGGTGTAGCTCCTAGCAATCAAAACCGTCGCGATTCGGGTGTTGGATCAAGCTTATCCAGATCTCCAAGGTATGAAATGCTTAATTGGACTTCCCCCGCATATGTGAACTTCAGCGGTCCTTCATCACAACGTATTCGGCAATCAGTGTTGTCGTATTATCAAACTTTGACTTCTTCTTTAACAAGCAGTAGTAACAGCTCTTCCATGGGTTCTTGGAATGGAACAGCAACCAAGCGACGTATTACAACATCTGATCGAATCATGACTTCTTCCTTAACATCATGGTTTGTATAAGCTTATGTTCATTGTTTAATCCTATTAATTTGTAGTTCTGGAGAAGACATTTTCTTTTCGGATGAACAGCTCCTGACAACAATTGATGGTTTGAGCTGCTTTGACCTGGTACGGTAGCATCCTTCGTACGCCAGCATTATTTACTGCTTTAGACAAAAATGAGAAAATTGGCTTTCTTACGAATGACTGCCATTCTGGAAAAGTATATGGGTGTAACTAATGCCATCAAGTTCGAGCCATACAATGCCTCTAGTGGAAGTTCCAATGTTGGCAGCGGAACTCACAAAAATAACTGGACTGTCCAAAAGCTGATAAAGAAGATTAAGCAGATGGACACTAAGACAGGGAAGGAAACAGAAGAAAGCACCGTCTTCGGCCAATCATTAGAAGTTATCTATCGCCGTTCTGGTCGTTGTTTACCACGAACAATCCTTGAAGTAACGATTTAGTACACTCTATCATGAATTTCATTTCTTATTCTAGATTCTGAGGTATCTTCGACAGATGGCTCCAGATACTGTGGGAATGTTCCGTAAGAACGGAGTGAAGTCTCGTATCAATGAACTACGAGCTGTATGTGATCGTGATGCTGAAACAGATGTCTTTGTGGAGAGTCAACGATTAGATGCAGGACAAGTTCATGATGTAGCCGACCTTTTGAAGCAATACTTACGAGAATTGCCAAATCCTTTGATGACTTCCCGATTGTCAGAGGTCTTCGCTGGAATCTTCCTTCATGTGCCTGATAATGAAAGGTTGGTACAATTGAGCATTCAGTGAGTATGATTTACAATTTCAGTATCCGATTATCTGCTTTACAATTCGCCATTCTGCTCTTACCTGATGAAAACCGTGAAGCCCTTCAGACTTTACTATTGTTCTTGGCTGATGTAGCGAAATACTCTGCTGTCAACAGCATGCCAGCTCAGAACTTATCTGTATGCTTCACACCATCTCTATTTCATCTAAGTGCATCTCGTCTGGATAAAATTTCTGCCAACAGGTATGTTGTAAGATTTTGGCCATTATTAAGAGAACATCATAATAGGCGTCATAAAACAATCGGATCAGCATATGGAATGCCAACTGAACGTGAAATGAAAGAAACTCGAGCGGCTCAGATGTGTTTGACATTCATGATTCAACATGTTCGCTCTATTTTCCTCGTCCCAGAAACTGTTAATGTCGATAGGTATGTCAATCATATTTTGTCAACGGAATAACTGTCTTATTCTTGAAGAAAGGAAAGTGAAGAAGATGCCCCATTACTCAAAGATCTTGGCCCTCATGGACCCAGAGCTTATCTGATGGAGAGAGTTACTGATTTGATCCAGGTTTGTTGCAATAAACTGTTTGCCAGTTTATTTAAAGTTTTAGGAAAATGCTGAGAGATGGAAAGGCTGGATAGTTGAAGGCCATTTGGATGGAGTTGAAATCAGTTCTCGTAAACCAACAGATGATCAACCATTGCGACCTATTCGCGTCTGGGTTGATGTACCAGCTCCTCCTAAAGAAGTTATGCATCGAATTTTACGTGAAAGATCAGTATGGGATGTTGATGTGATTAACTGGAGAGTAATCGATACTGTGTACCCTCCAGATACTGATGTTCACCAATACGTGTTGAACGACACTATTGGACATCCTACTAGAGATTGTTATGTAGTCAGGTTAGTTGTTTTTTTTTATTATGTTTACATATGTCTTCTTTCAGACATCATCGTATGGACATGCCAGAGTTACCGGGTGCTTGTGCTGTTGCCGAGAGATCAATCCAGTGTGGTGAAACTCAACTGTTGGGCGGTGTCAGTGCAACCGTTTTCGATATTCGTTTCCTCATCGAACCCAAAAGTGGATATTCTCGAGTCACCTATCTTGCACGCGTAGATCTAAAGTAATATTTTCATAATCAAACTCGTATTCACGTTATTCGTTTGTAGGGGACGCAGCTCTACTTGGTACAACCGAGTCTATGGAAACGTTTTAGCTCGTCAAATGGCACGTCTCCGGGAATCTTTCCGCAAAACGGACGAATATGGTCCAGAAACTAAAGTCTAAACAATTTCATTGAAATAGTTGAACGGGTCTGTACAGTTTTTTATCCAGCATGCCATATATTTATATGCCAATCAAGTGGCTCCATTGATTGAGCTAAATCTCATTTTGCCTTCGATAAGTCATATCTTGTCAATCTTGCTTCATTCTCTTCCTATTTCATTGTGTAATGGGAAAGAAAGATTTCTATTTTGCGTTATTCTCAAGCTTATGTCTTCCTTGTCGTTATCGGCTACCAGAAAACTCTTTTCACTACGGGAACTTCTGATTGTTTTTGCTCAGTCGTTGCAATTGTTCATTTGCAGTTCTATTTATTCTTATGAGTTTCAGTTTATTGTAATATACTTTAAAAGTGCCAAATTTCATACATATTAATCAGTTTGCTGATTCAATGCGAAGCGTTTCCCGGTTTCATACCACATCTGTATTTTTAAGTTTCACTTTTATTTTTTATTCACAGAGTTAAAATTTAATAAATCTATAGGTTTTTCATTCCCACTCAATTCTCGAACAACAAAGACAGCGATTACCGTAACAAACCACGAGAAAACAGATTTCCACAACGATATGCATACGAACTAGGCATGTCTCAGAATTGTCAATCTAGTGAACGCTACAACTCTATTTCAAAATATAACACTTTATCTCACGTCCCAAGTATCTTAGGAGAATTCAAAAATAAACTAATTCTAAATTTATTGCGGGTCCATTGACTGCTTAATATAGACAAAAGAATATAGATACAAGATTGGTGATAGTACAAGATTAAGTATTCTCTCTCTTTTTTCTTTTCATTACCAAAATCCCCAAATACAGTACTCCTTTCTTTATGTCGATCTTAGGAAGAAAGGGGTATTATCTTCAGAGATAAAATTTAAAGGTAATATAAATGACAAAGCTAGATAAACTGCCTGAGAATACAAGATTCGATAAAAACCTACCAAGTCTAACAAATTATGATCTCATTGAATTGGTAGAATTATTGAAAATTAAAAACTTCCGGCAAATCTTTATGAGAGACACACTTCCAAATAAAATAAATCCAAGGAAAGTAGAATAAACAATTATATGGCGAACGAGAGAAGGGGTTTTCAATTTTTCTAGTAAAAAATTGAAAATGTAGTTTGTAGTTTAAGCCTCCCCCGAAAAAATGTTTTTGTATGCGAGGGTTTGTTCGCTGGTATAATTATTATACCGTCGTAATCGTACGTATCTTCATTTAACATACTCAAGCTACAGTCTTTCTTCTCATTGGTTTCTATGCAGAACTTCTTGGGCTTAGAACAGTTATTATAAAAGAGTATATTAACGTTGAATTTTAATAAAGCTCATTTCAATAAATTAATAATATTATGTTTCATTAGATACATTTCCATCTATATATCACTTTCTCTACTGTTTAATAAGGAATGTCGTTCTGTACATATTGGAGTTGATCGTACATCTTACTTCTTATGTTCAGGAAACAATTCGTTATAACTGAGTGCATGAACCTGCAAACAATTCGTTAAGGAAAGACATACGTCTCTACTAACCTAGCAGCATCGGCTTCGCCTAGATCGGGAGCAAATCGCGATCGCAACTGTTGTATGGTTTTGCCTCGGAAACAAGGCAAACCAGTGTCTAACATCAACGATACCAACGAAACGAAGGCCTAAACATTTGGGAAAGGTTAGGATGAAGTGAGAGAGCGAAAACTCACTTTATGGTAAGGTCTAACAGCTAAATAGCATTGTACACAAAGTTCCGCGAACTCTCTGAAAGGTGTCGCTTCCATTTTACCACCCATAACCGCAACCATTTCTTCACTGAGTTTGAAATCTGGCTCGAAGCCCAAGTTTCCACCAGGACTACTTTCGAACATGAATCCGAAGTCTTAAATTTGAAGATGTTTACTTATAAGATGAAGAAAACGAACCTATGTGGATAATATGCCCTTCATTATCAATCATTATATTGCCATTGTGCCTATCTTTGATTTGAAGAAGGAAACTGAATACTGAATAAGCAGCCATACTCCTTACAAATTTTCTACGAGCGTCCTTAACAGACACAAATATATCTTGTTGCAACAAGAAACTATACCTGGAACGTTTCGCTACTCTCATCACCATAAGTTGTTTTGAAGTATTCAAATAGTCCAAAATCAGTTTGACGACCGAGTTGATCTCTACTTTTCGAATTAGGAACACACTCAATGACACCGCATCCAGGAGATGTGGCCACAACCCTGGAGTAAAAATTAGTGGAAAATAAATGACCAGACAAACCTATAAGGGAAAATTTTCACTGGCATCCCTAAACCCATCCACATATTCTTCATTAATTGCATCAGTTGAAGAGCAAGCATATCTTGACGAACGTCATCACCAACTTTGAAAATAGCGGCTTGCCAACAGACTCTGCTATCTTGGCACTTTCTTAGCTCCTGCAAATTAGCTTCTTTTGGCGGTGTCGCTCCTTTTTCAACGGATTGTGCCTGAAGAGGGTGTATTATGATATGTATATGATAATGGCTAACCTCTAGAGCAACGCGCTCTAACTCCCGAACTCCGCATCGTTGAACTTTGAAACGAGCTAAGAAAGGTGCTTTAGCAGCGCTGGAAGAGAACATTTAAAGAGCTTGAGGGAAAGACGAAACAACCTTTGCATGGGAGTTCCACTGTTGTAGTCTAAATCTAACAGAATCGCTTCAGGATTCGATGGAAGGTAAGTTATGGTTTCTACTTTTATCTGAAAAGGGGACATAGAAACAGGCTTTACTATTTTTCTAACATCAGCTAGAGCTTTCAAACAAGCTTTCTTTCTCGCGTCGCCTTTAGGATACGGCTTTATGGTACCAGAAATGGCTGTCAACTTATGGAACAAAGTGAACTCAGCTTCATGGAAACGCTTTGCTGCTCCTTCTAGCTGACTGTTCATCTAAAAAACAGGAAACTTTCAAACATGTTAGTCATTTTTTACCTTTCGAATAATTGAGTTCAGAGCATCGTAAAGGACAGGATCCTTGTTCTTACTTTCTTCATCAGTGAACATGTTCGTTTCCATATTCCAGATAAGTTGATGAGCTAATAACTGAGAATGTCCTGCTAGCCACACCATCAACTCTGCTATATAACCCATCTACAGAAGAAAGATAACTTATGTCCATCAAAGAATGGCTCACCGAATCATGACGAACAGCCTGAACTAATTGGGGGATGTACATCAGTAAAGCATCAGCAGGGTACGATCTCAATACTCTCACGGCGTATTGAACCGTTATGGGGTGTAAGGGATATTGCCGAGGGGTGAGAAGTGACAAAGCCATCACAGGAGAACATGTCGCCCATGTTAACACATGAGACATCTGTAAAAATTGTTTGAAGCTTTCTAGTAATTTCGTAGTTTACATCTGCTGTTTCGAACACGGCATTGTCTCCTAGGAATAATGGTAAAGCATCTGGGATATTAGACACCGCCTCAGGGTGTGATCGAACAATCTCTTGAACAGTAGTACGGAGTGAAGAACAGGTCCTAAACCTGAAATAGCGAACAGAAAGTTTTTTGTTCAGCTGAGTAATGATTACCTAGTAGGAAGATACACAGCTAACTCAGGAGATATTTCCCAAGCCAACCTAGCAGATTCTTTGAGTACTCGAGATTCGACTCTACTATCTAAAAAAATTGGTATGCTAGGTGTGTTCTAGTGCGACCCTACCACTCAATGTTCCTTTCATCCATTGTTCCACGTTAGGAGCACCTTCTTCCACTACATCTCCTAAAGGATTGAGCCAAGCGCATAGTCTTCCAATTTCGTTTCCCTAACATTATATATTTACTTTATAGTACGAAAAGAAACTTACGATCAGAAGAAGTATGAGGTTTCGCCTCTTCAAGAACACTTTGACTTGACGTTCAACACTCTGAGCCAATTGAACATCCTGTGTGAGTTTTCTGGTGTCTCCTGGAAGAATAGATTGTTAAAGGAAGAGAAAAGAGACCAACCACTTCGTTGAGAGTAGGTAGCAGCTGTTTTTTGAGATAAGGTGAGGGTGTTTACATAATTGGAACTACTGCTTGCAGATGTAGCATGCCATGTTTGGTTATTAGTTCTGATAACGAAACATAAAAATCAAGAAGCAATAGAGAACTCACCTAGTAGGAACATCTGATATCGAAGCTGTCATTTGGTTGATAGACGTCAGAAGATTTATGTCGTGATCTGGAAAATTTGCTTCAAAATCTGTTTGATCAACAGATTGTACCTGTATTTGCAAACATCTCCTTCTTTATATATTTTCCATCAGCGTACATCGCATGCCAGAAACTGATCAGATATACAATATCATCTCGTAACTGAGAAGACGACTGAGTAACACCTTGAGGAGGAATTCTGGAAGAAGGAAAAGATATGATTCGACTTTTCTACAAGGAGTACATACGTGAAGAAATGTAGAGCTGATGCATAAACACGTTGTCTTATAACATGATTCGATGGTCTTGATTGAGCTGCAGATCCTTGGAGAAGTGAAAGAGCACAAGACAGAAGACTGAACCGAACACCAACTGCAGAAATAGATCTGGTCAGTTGTCCTTAAGAAATAATTGAACATTTTTCAGCAACGATAACAAACTTGGATCGTCAACACCCAGAGCAGTGGAAAACGATTGTCCCGATACTGTTAAACCAGACCCAACTTGCATGCTCAAAGATTGGGCAAACATCATTTCCAGAACATCTATCTGTTCTCGACTACTATATTTAGCGACATCTACACGCCCGGATATAAACTGAGAGAAGATGATGCTCAAAGTTTTCAGAACGTGGAACTAACCGAAATCCATAAGGAGTGTGGACCAACATCTGGAGAAACAGGTAGCTCACTTGTTTGAACACAAAGTGGAGACACAGGCAGGGGTCCTTTCTCGAAGAGACCTAGGCCTTTTCTGCAAGAGTCAGCAAAAGCTCTGCTCATTTCCAACAAAAACTGAATAAGGAGATACATTTAAGAAACACAGATGCATTTTACACTCTGCTGCACGTCGCTTCTGGCAGCTAGAAGCCAGTTCCAACTCATTATGCATAGCTTGACAGTGGATTCCGTGAAATTGTGCAGAGGAGCTCTAGCCAAAGTGTTCAGAATTTTTTCGTTCATCTCTGTATCATTCGGTAAATGTAGTTAGAATACCCAGAACTTACGAGGTAGGGTGACGAACAGAGCCGTGAGCAACAAAACTGAGCTCTGCATTTCAGTATCTTTTCCGGTTCGGCATGCTCTTTCAAACTTATCCATCAAACTTTTGATTAGATTACGTTCAAAATCTGCATCTTCGTCGTTATTATTCAATGAGAGCATTCCTTTTATCTGTTAAGTTCATATTAGAGGAATGTTCGACATGGTTTCTCACTTGGCCTAGATATGAGCTTCTCAAGTGCAGAGAAGATAAATATAAGCTAGTGTTTTCTCCATTTCCAGAAGTTACAGCGGAAAACGCTAAGCTTAGAGACCGATCGGATGGCTCTCCATAACTAGCGACATATTCCTATAAAAAGATTTTCGTAAGCTTTCCACAAAATATATTACCAGAAGATGACTCTGAGTGCTTGAAGGAGCCCATTTCATTGCTTCCAGTAGGATTTGTTCACATCTCACAGAAAAGTCTTTGACAACTGCTTTTCTTCCTTCTAAGTTATCCTGTAACAAACTGTTTAACAATGTCGTAATGAATTAACTACCTGAAGTTGGATAGTCCACTCCACGTCATTCAAAGAGAAGATGGTTTGTCGACACCCAGGATCAGTCACATTCAAATTTTGCAAAGCTTGCAAAAGTCGGAGTGCGGTTGATAATACTTTTCCATTCCACAACAAGTAAGGGAACTGATCAACTAACCGAGAGAGACAAGCATCAGCACATCTTCGCACCTTCATACAAACATTCAAACTTCATATAATCTCAATTGCGAAACCTCTCGTAGATTATGATTGAACTGGACAAGGAGGAACTGCGCATGATACTCTAGATCAGATTCTGTTGATTCTCCTTCCCGTATCCTTTTATGAGCTTGCAAGAATGTATCAAACACGATCACAGCACCAGATAGAAGACATGCCCACATGCCGCTTTTGTCTTTTCTTATGCTCCTGAAAAGTATATGTTTAGTTGAAGAGTTAGAACAACCAACTTGTCCTCAAGATATTTGAAAAAATCATGAGCTGCATCTCGTCTAGAGGCGTGCTTCTTAAAAGGAGTTTTTGTTTGCGTTTGAAATCATCAACTTACAACTCGCATTTTTTCCATTCGAAGTACAGAGAGTAGGTATATGCATTGAGCAAAATCCATCCTGTTCACAATCGGAACGATATCTGGTGGGTGGTTCATCTCAGAGCTAACCGTGTTCCGGAACTCTTGAAGTTCATTCTGAAGGCAGTCGTTTTCAACCATTTCATGGAAACTTAATTACCGGAGAAATACTGTCACTTCTTATCGCTGCATTATCAATCAATTCCGATCTGAGATTTTCCTGGGCAATCAGAACAGGAGATCGAGTAGCTATATCACAGACAGCTTTGTACCAATCCTCAGGCCATAGTCCGGAAAACTCTACATCAAATCCAAGCACTGTACAGTAAAACCAAAAATCTCTGTAAGAATTGTCATGCTCGACTGAAGTAGGAATTAATGAACCTAAATAAGTTGCGGAGTCTAGTGGTTGGATGAGTTATAGCATTCATTCGGTTCAGCAAAGCTGCTATCTTTGGCATCAGCACTCCCAAGTTTCCAGCACTTGTAGACATCTGAACAGGAACTCTGTTAGTTGCGAACTAACATGAAAGGTAATATTATTTTAAACAAGGAAAGTTTATGCATTCCTCGGTTAGTCTATTGGGTTATCTATTTGGAAATCATCTATCACACGCGTTATGGTTATGATGCACAACACAACGGAATCAAGATCATAAGCTACGAAATTATCAAAAACATAAGCGTAAATGGACAAAAACAAAGACATTTCAATGTCAAACCTTATAAGAGTTGACGTGAGTTGACAAAGCGACTATAGTCAGCTGTAACATGAGGAAATTGTGAGAAGACACATTAGTGGCATTGGAGTTCGAGACAGGACGAGATTATGAAGAAAAATAAAACTTACTTTCACTGTACTCTTAGATACTTTTTCTCCTATTCTTCTCCCTTCTATTCCTAATTGCACAAAGAGCTCCAAGAGGCGAACTAGTAGACTCTGCTTGTCATCTTCTTCAGAAACTCCTTCTGCCATTATGGCTAGTGCTTGGTCGACAGCTAAAGAAACATGTCTGAAAACAGTTGATTTGACTATTTTACATTTTACTAATTTTAAATTTGAATAGAAGATCCACGGCTTCACGTGGAACGTTCCATATACTTTCATTTCTTATTTCAAAAACGCAGTTACAGGTTGCATATAGGTTAGGATTTATCAATGTTTTTAAGAACTGACGTATAGCGGTGATCAGTATGCGAGTTATGATCCTGAGAATAAACTCTATTGCTGGATTCTATGGCTATTTGAGTAAAAAGCTTCATGACTCCATCATGAATAGTTTTCTAAATGATTGGTCTCACTAAATAAGAGTAAGTTTAACATACAGCACCAGCTACCCACATCTGAGCCAAGCATTTCACCATAACTATATCCAATGGTGAGGGAGGACTGGCAAATCTACAAAATTGCAATTACGCAAAGTAAAGCACAACAACGAAACCTCTGTAAATAGATCTGCAGCACCATTTCTGGGACTTCTTTTGAAGTCACGCCTAAAGAAACTCCGATTCCTCCTAATGTCATTATCGCATTCTCGCAAACGAGAGAAACTACCCTAGAAATATCAAATTGATTTCAGGAAGCATGTTACAGATTTGAACTAAGGCATCCAGCTGGGCTGCCAAATGCGAGAAAAGAAGAACTTACAAATTGTTATTATTTGAGCATACAAACAGTTTTGAGGATAAACTAGCTAAGCAAGCTTGGACACTATCCTCATCTACGGTTAGAGCTGAGTGTAAGGATCTGATATACGAGTTTTGATTAATTATAATATTTTCGATCAGTACCTGCATAAAGCGTCGATGGCGGCTCTCCTAACCGAATCCAGTGCATTTTTCCTACGTGCAACGCCATCTTCATCCCGCTTATCACTGTCTTTTTTCAGAGTAGCCTACATAGATTTTTTAATAGCAAAGAAAAATAATCGCTTACTGGTTCGGTGGCAAGTTTCACCAGTAGCGGAGCAGGTTCAAGTAGGAATCGAGACAAAATAGGAACAACTGTAGCAGTTGCAACAGCTGGGAACTTCTCAGCTAATCCTCCGAGAGATGTCAACGCTTTGACGACTAAAGGTAACTGAGCAAGCGATATCTTAGAGGTGGTAGATGAGAAAAGCCTCGAACACATTGAAGCGCAAACAGCATCAGAATCTGAATAAATCACAGTGCAGCCCAGTAATGGCGGCATATACTTACCAATATCATCGACTGCAGCCCACACTACTAACTCTAGTACAATAGTTGAAGCCAAAAGTGAAGTTCTATGCCGTCCGATTCCGTATTCTCTGTAGCCTTTCGACCTTCGATCATCTTCTGAATGCAACTTAGCGGTGTCCAAAGAAGTCAATTGTTCAACAGCAAAAGCATTGAGCTTAATAGAATTGTAAATCGACAATAATCAGGAAAGATCGAACCTCTTTCGCAAATGTTTCTTTGATAGGACAATCTCTGGCTAGAACATCAAAAGGACGTAAAATATCTCGGAGCAAAGTGAGACACGTTAGTCTTAGCATCTCACTAACAGTCTTGTATGGATACCTTTTAATGTGACCAGCCTGAACATGAAAAATATAACTCGAACTAGATAATCAAATATACCATGAATACATCCGTAGCATGAGCATCAAGATCCGTGAGAATTTCTGGATTGATAAGTCGCTGAACTGAGTCGAAGATTTTTTCAATATCCACTACATCCATCCGGAAGCGGGAAGAGTTGGGACATACAAAACTTGCTCCCAGTCTAACGAACTATGAGTTGCAGTCAAATGGACAATCCTCACCTATTGTAGAGCTTAACTCCACTGGATTTGACACTTTCTTTCTCGAAGTCAAGCCATGTCGAGTCATCATAGCTTAAAGATCTTGATATTCTTCAAAATTCCACAACAAGCAACATGACTACAGCAAAATAAAAAAAGGTCTCACGAGGTGGTTGCCGATGGATTTTCAAATGGTAGAGGAAAAACCGTGGCTAGAAGAGGAGAGTAAGGATCAGCGGAATATCTTCCTAAGGATCTCAACAGACCGAAGACATAACAAACGAGTTTGATTATATGTGCTAGAGCAGAAGGTGGTTAGACTGAACAAGTAAACTATTAAACATACTTTTATTGTTAGGTAAATTCTCCGTGTCTTGCAATATCTCATGAATGGAAGTAATGGCACAAGCTAAAGCATCTACCTGGGCGGACACAATAGTTTTACTTTGCTTGGGAAGCAACGCAGCTAGATCAGCTAACCCTGTATTGAAACAGAAGCCAAACTGTTCTTGGATTGGAATGCCTTAAGATGAAAGAAATAAATGAATTTCGTTATGAAAATTACTGTCAGTTTTGTTGACCAATCCATCGTCAACCCACTTCATTTGAGGTAGAATGGCGAGATATTTCGTCAAGATTGGTACAAGTTCATCAGCATACTTAACCAGAGATTTGATAGAGAAGAAAACTTAAGAAATACCTTTCCATTGGAATAGAACAAATATGTTGAGAGAGCTATCAACGAACATCGAACATTGTGGTTCAAAGGATAATCTTCCGATTCATCACAGAGCCCAGAAAGTATTCGCTTCCGAACTTCATAGAGAGGGGTTGTTGGAATCTGTAAAACCATGTATGAATTACAATTGAGCTTCGAGTATGAACCTTAGCTAAACAGACAGCAGTACATTGACTGTTTTTGAAAATGAAGTCTTCTATATCCTTCATTGTTAATAAGAAAGTCTCAGAAGAGGAAGAAATCCATGTCACAAGTACCTGCAATGAGGAAAGTGTTCTATGTTACTGTTTTGATATGCGCTTTCAAGTATATGATGGCTTGTTTGACCATAGAAATGAAAAAAAAGTCTGATCGATTTTTTATTCAACAATATTCACAAGAGCAAGGAATCCCAGAGTTGGAAACACGAAGTTTTAAAGTTAAAGTGAGGGGGGACAAACGACCGAATGGGTTGTCCGTGTTCCGGAGGATTTAAAGGATACTCATCATTTTGCTCATAACCTTCCTCTGAAGTCAACAAAATCAACAGTGTCAGTTCCAACAAAATTAATGCATGTAAGATATACAAAAAACACAAATAAGGCAAAAAAAAGATCAATTAGTACAACAAGTCTACGTTGCTGTTTCTTGGTTTCTTGATTTTCTCCAAGTTCTTGGTAATCACATCGTGCAGGGTGGAGTAATGATTACGCATTTCAATGAGAACCAATCTAACACAATACATGCTATACTATCACGAATACCAAAAATACCTGATGTTGATGAATTGCTTCTCGTCCATATCGAGGATTCCTTTGCGATAATCGTCGACATGAGGATATTTGGCAACCTGAACCAAACAACATAGTAACTGTACGTTAACTTAGATAACCTTTGTGATAAGTTTTCCTCTGCTTGTGAAGTATCTGCTCATCTGATCTAAGAATGAAGCAGCTTCGCTCTCGACATTTCGAACCTGAAGAGAGGGACGTATTTCTGAAATTCAATATATCAAACCTCTCCTAGAGCTTCTTCTTGGATGGAAACTCCGAAGTTGTTTCCGTCTTCGATACGAGGGATCAAGAAAGTAATCCACATTTTAACCTATAAGCACGTTGAGAATTTCAATTTCATTATGTGTAGATCACCTTGTTAACACTCTCAACAGCTTCTCTCAATAACGGACGAACTTGATCCATGAGTTCGATGAGTTTATCGTTACAAGGAACAGTTCCTCTAATAAAACCATAAACTGGTGTTCCTAAACCAATTATACAATAGGCGCATCCATAACAAGTTCAAACCTAATTCTTGGGCTTCTTTCTCGTCCAGCTTTCTCTTCTTCGCTGGAACTTCATTTCCACTCTGCATGTTCTGTGAAGGGAATAAAATGTTTCAAGAAACCGAAAAACCTCTTTAGCATCAACAACTGGGACAGGGATATTGAGATCGTCGGATGGGAGAATCTCATGGATTCTGTCGTACGAGAAGCGATGACTCTGAAGTTAGAAGTTAGAAGTTTGAATATCAAAATATCATTGAATCTTCCAACCATTAACATAGCATCAAACTGAATGACCCTCTTGGGGAATTCTTCCATTACAAGCCTTTCAGCTTCTTCATATAGCTTCTTCTTGTAAGCGTTAAGCTGAAAAGACATGAACGGATGTGAAAGAAACTAAACAACAGACCTCTTTGGCATGATCGATTTTCTCAGAAGCTTTACCTTTAGTCATCTTAACTGGAGATAGAACATTGAGTGGAAAGAAATTAACACAGAAAAGTAAGATTGGCCGATAACCAAGATAGCAGAAGAAATGTAATCCGTATTTGGCTTTATACACGTACGACATATTATAAATTAATCTATGTACAAAGTGAGAAGATGATTTTTAGCTTTTCTGCTTATAAATATCCACAATAGTTTCTAAACAAGGACGAAGGTTCATATCGCAAGAGCCAAGAGAATATCGGCTGACGTATTTGAAGTAGTCAAGGCCTCTTCCTATTTTGACTACCCAGCCATTATCGAATCTGAAAGTTTTTAACCTTCGAAAACATATATAGTTCAATTGTTACCTGATTTCTCGATCATGAATCTCATCGGAATATCGAAGTTGCAAGACTTGTCCCGTCTTTTTCAAACTCTCACCCAACTCATCAAAGGCTGCTTTGTTGGCTTTGCAGTCGTTGCTAGTTATCAGGCAAATCACTCGCAGGTTCCTAGCTTTAGATACCAATAATTCACAAAATCGAACAAAATTCAACAACTGAACACAAAATGAAACCAAAGCTGAGGAAAAAACTACGTACTTGATGATTTGCTTTGATGTAAGGGTCGTAGACTGTGGCACTCGTCAATTTGTCATCCAAACAACGAGAAAAGATTTTGTCATAGCCATGTCCTGTAGAGTTGGCTGCTATCTTTCTCTGCTCGAAGAAAACTGTCTAAATGAAAATATAAGAAATCACAAATGAATTCAAAGAATTTTACCTCAACTTTCACACTATTTCTCAGTTCTTCAGTGCGTTTCATGTATGCATCGAGCCTGGATCTAACATCATCTTTCATCTGTCCTGCAGGAAGACCTCTTTAACAATTTCATTCTGTTGGAATTAGCATGCATGATGCTAGCGCTTACCTATAATATTCAAACAAAATTTCTATCCCCTGTACGTATTTTACCCAAGCATCGTTTGGTTTGTTCCCTTTGTCTAAAGCTGTTGCCTCGAAAAGAAGACTCTTCGCCTCTTCGAACTTCTCCATTTCCTGAAACGACTCATAAGGTTGATCGATAAGCCCCTAACAAACATATATTCACATTATACTTAGAAGATTAACTATAATATATCTGTAAAACAGTTCAAAAATTATTCAGCAAAGCACTGGAAAATCAATCCTAATACCACGTACTTAAGGAGAGCAAACGAAAAAATACGTATTTTTCGTAAAAATTGCAATACATCGTCATTTCATTCGAATATTTTCGATGTGAGATCGATGAATAAGAACATTGGTCTCTCGTTCAATACGTCTTTGACACAGAACTCCCTAGAAAGTTCATCCTTAATCAAAAAAATAAATTTGTTTTCAAAATGTTACTGAAGTTTCATTCAAGATTGACATCCGTACATGGATATTCCCAAGAATCTTCTTGGATTAACATTAGTTTCCGCGATGACTTGTCTATTGGCTGGTTTTAATTTTGCGAAGAATGATAAGAAACATGTGTAAGACACCCGGAGCCTGTCTATATTCTACTACATCCACGCAACAATATGTAATTTGATTAAAGCGTAGTAATATATCTTCACTGACGATCACAAAGTTTAAGTGTTATGAAAGCTGGGCTACTCATATATGTAAGAATGCAACCAGTCTTTGTGTAGTCGGGATAAGAAATGAAAAGTGTTTCCAAGTAAATTGCATCCTAATTAATGGATAATTGCTACTCGCTTTGGCTCTAAGAAAGACTGCTAAGTCCCTGCGAACCGAACTCTGACGACACCCTGAACTGGAAGATTCCTTCAGTGAATGTCTTTATAGGATTGTCGATTCACATGGTACTCGGTATGAACCAAATTACAAATTGTTGTGTACAGGATGAATCTCAATTAAACATTTGACCATAACGAAAATACATCCGCGCAAGGGATAACACATAACTTGACGGGTTGAGGGATAATCGAAATTGATGAAAAGAAACAGTTCTACATTACCCAAATCAATTCCGGCGAACTGTGACAACTAATGCGCTTGGGATAACTGATTGTCGGCAAAAACTTCGAGAGTTAGATGAAACATTGATGGGGCTGCTGTACCGTGTGTGAAACCGTAGTGTTAATGAGGAAAGAGGTTCAACCGGAAGTGTTCATCCTATTATACCAACGGAGTAATTGCATTGACTATCAAGAGAGTACGAAGTACATTGTCGGAACGTGATACGATCAACTGAGATCAACTTAGAGACATTCCGAATTGGAATTGTTAACCTTTGGATTTATGGGTACAGACAGGTGGAATTCCTGCACTATAAAGAGGATAAGGCAGATGAGATATTGACTGGAATTGATGTCTGAAATTCAGTTGGAGAGATGTCTGAGATGGTGATCGCGGCGAAGCCACCGAGATCATTCTCAATTATAAAATTTCTCTACAATCACACACACACATACACACACATCCGCACAACAAAACCTTTGCAAAGCAGGTGGAATAGACTTTCCTTTTGTCGTTTTTAAACTTTTTTCTCTTTGTTTTCTCATTATATTTTGATTGTATTACGATTATTTATCAGTTATTGTGAAGATTTCCGATGAAATTCGAAGAAAACACATCTCGCCAGACAGTTTATTCTAGTTTGGAACTACTGGGTTTTCACCTATCGAAAAAACATTTTTTTCTCAGATAAAAGAAAGAAGACAGAGTTCAATAATGCGTAGAAGACATTCAAATCAACAACCATTTCCCAGACATCTTGTTTCTCTCTTATTTCCTAACTTCATACCTCTCAACTTTGAAGCTTATAAGATGTAATCCATATGTACATGCAATACCAATAGCTGTATTTGGTCTATCGTCATTGGTCTTTATCAATACGAAAGTTCTTTTCCTTTATTAAGGTAAGCAAAACAAATTTCTATTTAGGTCGGTTGACTGATAGAAAATCTCGATTTGCATCTTCAACATCATTTTCTCTTTCCTTTTACGACAATTCTATAATCGTCAAGTTATTAACTAACTTGAAACGAATATGCAACTTGTTTTGTTGAAGGAAGAGTATCATCAGAGAAGCTTACAAATAGTTTCGCTTTATCTATTCAGTAGACAGTCGTCTCATTCAGCCCTCCCCATCGCTATTCTCAGAAAAAAAAATAAAAAAGTATTCAGATACACTATGTTGGCCGAATAAGGCAACTTCCCATATATTCTTATTGTCTCAGAAAAAGCATTCTTGAGTATGCTGCTTCATCTTGTTTCTACTCATTCATTCAACAACAAAAAATAAAACAAATATTTTCTTTTTGTCTCTTTCTTATAGTTCATACGTATTAGCATACCATATAGGGGAACATGACGAAATCTTATTAAGTTTTTGTTTTAAAACGAGAGCGTTTCGTTTTCTTCCCCGTATTCGTCTAACATTGCATCCATTTTTTCGGACGAAAAATCTTTTTTTTATGACTTGATGATGCATCGCTATATGAGACTTGTAGCCATCAATTTTCTGCATATAGTTAAGAGATACGAGACTTACAGTTAGCTATATGAAAACTGGAAGAATAACATCATCGTCCTCTCATTTTAGAACTTATACTGGTTCTTTCACCGACCAAGTACTATGCATAGCCTTCCACAGATAGTATAACCTTTCACAAGTTATTCAGCTGCTTACCAAATCAAGCAGTTTGTTTATTTTTTCTTTATTTTATCTCTCTATCTAATTTCAATTCAATTCTTTCTCTTCCTCAAAGAGCGAAGATAATTATAAGTTTAGAAAGTTCAAAGACTGAACCGTTGACACTTCAGTTTGCTGATGTCATCAAAGTTCTGCCATACAGATCCAGGTCCAATTAATGTTTTTTGAATGATTGAGTGAAAAAAAGACAAATTGAAGCTAATTTCATATCCTAATTGAACAGAATTCAGTTTTTCCTTTTTAGAACAACTAAACATCAGACGAATTTTATAACAGATATAAGGATCAACGATGATGATGACGTGCTTGAATGAAATGAACGATTGAAACAAACCCAATAAGAGAGGCGTATTAGCGATTGTTCGTCCAAGTTGGTCAAAAGATTCATCAAGACCTTCGTGTTTCTTTTTCAATCAGTTTCATCTTTTAAAAATCGCTGTCAGGTCTAGACATCTGATGGAAATGGTTGAATTGGTTGTAAGCTTCATAATAAGTTTCTAGACGCATACACACACATACACAGATTCCACGTGAACTTGTCACGTAAACTTTATTTTCAAAACAATGAGTAGTCTGTAGCGGTTGCATTTCGTATTCTCTTATTCTTTCTCTTTCTCTCCTTCTCCCCTTTTCTCTTTGTCAATCCCTATATAGCTTTCATTTCTCTCTCTCTATCTCTCTCCCTCTCTCTCTCTCTCTCTTTCCTTTCGTTCCATATATGTATAGATATTACACCACTATTTTTGTACATCATTCTTGATTATACAATTACTTTTGCTTTCTGTTAAGTAGAATCTCTCTCACTCCTCTCTGTATAAGCGGTTGAAGTTAAATTGTTTTTTATCTTGAGAAAGAGTGGATTTCAGTTATTCATATAACCCGTTTTCTCCCCTTTATCTTCACTAGCAACCAACTAACTTTCAAATCTTTCTCTCATTTTCTTTTGTCTTCTCACTCTTTATTGTCTCACTAAATGTTCTACGTTGATAGACTTTAAGAAAGAGATATTCCTTGAGAGGCGAATGAAAACGGGGGAAAGAGGGGGGGAAGTGGGGGGTGGGAACTTAAGGGGAGGATCATCAAGATGGAAGAGGTGACGATATCCAAGTAGTTCGACCCATGTTCGGAATCATATTGAAAGAAGAGAAGCAGTGGAAGTTGAAAAGATAAAAGACTAATAGTGTTTGAAACGAAGAGATCGAGAGAAATAAGAATTACCTTCGTTTGGTTTTCAGATGACAATTCTCATTTCATAGACAAGATCTGTTCGTCATCTCTCAATCTTGCATGCTCTCTTTAGAAATCTTCACTCAATTCATATAATTTATTGATTTTCTCATTTATCTAGTAATTATAAATGATAGACATATATTATAGTTAGCTTCTCATCGAAACATTACGCTATCTTTATTACTCATTGTTCTTGTATGCGAAAACATTCTTGATTGACAACATCATTCGTTGATCATTCAGTTCATCCTTGACTAATTGTAACCAAATCATTCAGTTGTTGTATTGCAGCTTCATCTACTCTTCAATGACATCAAAACCATCAACATCATATGGTCATGAAATGACTAATCAAAAAGAAAGAAAGCCGCCTCAACCGCAAGTAAAGGTAATCATTATCTTCCAATCACGAAATCAAAATTCAATCTATTCAGGTGCCTTCAAATTTGAGAGAAAGTCGTCAGTTGAAAGAAGGTCACGTAGAAGATAATAACGAAGATATAGCTTACTTCAATATCAAAGTCATCTATCCTGCACTCTTCTTCACAATTCTATCCCTAACAGCTTTTACAAGTAAGAAACCTTCCCACCAGCTTATTTAGTATAATATTTGTCTTCCTTATATAGTTGCTGTATGTGGTTCATTGTATACCGACTATAAGCCACCTAGATGGTTACTCAAGAGAGGCTTTGGTGTCAAATATGGAAGTTCCATCTTTCATTGTAACGTAAGTGTTCATGTTCAAGAAGTATAGTACAATTAGATGTTCATATAGAGCACCGTGAAGATAAGATGGAATGATATGCCTTCAGTCCTCAATATGTTTGAAGTTAATGTTGTCGGAAATGTTCTTTTCCGTATTGCCGTGTGTCTACCTATGGTCGTCAGAATCTTTTTGGTTTCTGTTTGGAGGTTGGTTTAAACAATGTTTCCGTTTAACTGTTCGCATATTCACAACAATGTGAAAACTGATTGAAAAAAACGGCAACGATGTGTGATTGTGCGCGTGATTTGCAATTTCCTTGAGACATCCGTCTGATAACAAAATTATAGAAAAGTTTTATACATGGAATACGAAGATGGTTTGAACTTTCTCTACAAAGCATGCAATGACTTGATTCCAATTCTGACCGCTGTCGAAGTTTTCGCCTTAGCCTTGTTCAGCATTATCACTCTGCATATGGATTTCCCTCGTAATGCAACTCTATCAGACTGTTCTAACTTGTAGTTTATAGACGTCAACCGCTTCTGTAAAGTAGTATTCGTCATTACAGCCGTAACAAACGTTTTTATGATAAGTATAGTCAGTTTTGCACATGGGAGAACTGCCACTAAGGTAGAGACTGTCACTTCTTCTTCGAATCACCGAAAGAATAATTTCAGAAAATTGAAACGTTTGCGATAGCAGTGAAATTAGTGTGTTGTGTTTCTTTCTGCTACACAGCTCCGCAGTTCTTCCAACAGCATGTAGGGACATTGATCTATCCACTATGTCACTCTTACGGTAAGCATTCTATTCCTGGACTTTCCTCCGGTGATCCACTTTTCATACTGCGGCGGGAGAGATAAAAAATACAACTGGCAAAATCCTTTTCATTTACCCAATCTCTTATCTACGTCATCTTCTAGCACATGAAATGTTTTTCCTCTCCACGAGTTTATTATTCCCATTACTTCAAATAATACCTCCCAACCGACCTATTAACCGTATGAAGTATGAAGAGATTGAGGAAAATAATTTTGAAAAGCAAATTCAAGTTCTGCGATCCAAATTGTTTCCTTTCCCATTGTTTTTTTTATGATAGTTATGGTATGATCCGATCTCTAATGTTTTTTTATTTACAGTGCCTCGCGCTCAAGCTCTAACGGAATACGTGATGATCGCCTCGTATGGTCTTTTCCATCTGACAACTCTGATTGATATTCGAGATGTCTCATTTATGTGTTATCCCCGAACATGCAGTGGAGAATGCGAACCTCTGCATCCAGACAACTTCCAGAAAGGTGGAAAGTTCGAACATTGTCGTGCTTACGAGTATAATCAACGACGAATTCTCAATATGTAATGCAATTGTCCGTGCACTCCCTCGTATCTCCTATAATCACGAATCACATTCTTAAATATCATTTCATTCACGTTTGCAATACGTCTTGTAAAAATGGGAGAAAGTTCTTCCTCCATCATAGTTGATTCACTTGTTGTTCGGGTAAACCATAATATAAACTGAAGTAGAAGTTATAAAACATATTCTATGTCTGTAAAAAATAATAATCTTGAAATAAAAGTTTAGAATATTTATTTTATAGATTATCTAAAATAAAGTAAAGCTTGTTGTAAGCTCTTGGAGTCTGAGAGGTTGAAATTAGTTTTTGGCAAGAAATGATTTCTCCAACCGAGCACTGAATATCAGACTTCGCTCACTGTTTCATCAAGACTTCTCACTTCCACAAAATCGTCGTTTATCTGAAAAAACAAACAAATCAGCTTTTGATATAGAAACTTATTCACCTTTATTGCCACAGGCTGTCCATATGGCTTTGGAAGTATTCCATTAGGGGTAGAAGACTTCGTTATAGATCTTTTAGGAATCGGAGAAGACGATGATGATGAAATCAAAGGAGCTGATAGCTCTCTGTCATCGTCGGCTTTCAACCGTTTAGGCTTTCTTAATTAATAACTGTTTTCTTGATCATTAATCATTAATACCTTTTCAGTCGTTGATTTGGTTTTCGCTTCCCCAAATACGAACTGCTATTATATCTTTCATATTGAAGAGGAGATAGTATTTGTGACTGTAACAGGAATGTTGAAGCAGTGTATTACTAGAGCCAGTTACCGTGTGTTGAACTCGTTGAATATCATCACCTACAGGAATGTATATCCTCGTGATATTGTTATCTTTTTGAATTCTTTTGAACGCCTCTTCTTGCTTCTCACGTATCCTGGATATGTTAGATACACACTTTTTCTGGAAACAAAGAAAACATATTAATCAAATAGGAGATCTCTAGGTAAATAAGAACAACCGCTCGCACTGAATGCAAAAATTGAAATGAAAACTTTGACGTAAAAAGCGCGTACGAGCAACGTGGCTTGTAAACAGCATGTGGTGGTTGATACTTACCTCAGCTTTTTCTTTTTTGAGATCTTCTTGTGAAATGGCACAATAAGTAAAATATACACGTTTACGATATCTTGATTTAGAGTTAGCCAGAGCCAGTCTGTAAATACGGTTATTGGATGGAGACGTCTGTGGAACATTGGTTACTTGAATTTTCTATTATCTGATATGAAGTTATAAACTTGAACTGTCATAACACGTAAGTAAAGCTGAACGAATAAGAAAATGAGGGATAGAATGGCCACTAATCGAATCAGCGGTGGATTCTTTTGGCAATAAATATTCTGAAGAGAAGTTATATATGATTGGAGCGAAGTACCTCATACCTCTTCATGATATCCACCCAGATCTGCAGCTAAAGCGAAAGCTGCGTCTAACAGTAGAAATACACAAGTAGTGTATTGAAATAACAATTGGATTCGTAATAATTTCGATCGTCTCTCCAAAATTGAGATCAAGAAAAGAGCCTGCAACATACTCTATAGATAAGCCTCATATGAGTGGAACTACTTTGAATGAATAAAAAATGGAATACTGAGCCATTGTGATGAAAAATATGAAAAACGGTACACCTGTCTCATCGCACTCAGGGAAGGCTAGGAGATAATGAATGACGTTGAGAACGAAACAAATAAACCCAAAGCCACATTCGATTAGTAGCACTAGCAGAGCCCTGAAATCGGCTGACTTGAAACAGAGAATGAACTAGAGAATGTATGAGCTTGGGTTATCAACAAGTAAGTTCAAGAAAAATCATATTACCATGACGGCGTGGCTGAGATTCCGGAGCTTTTCCAGAAGAATGGCATCTGATATTTGCCTGAGCTGTTGTCGAAACGTTCCGCTCCTACCAGCTCATGAACTTCCAATGGAGTGTTCGTGGGCCATTTGAACTGCATTTCTAAAACAGTTTTCATTTGTATCATTGTCATCTCTTCTTCTAAAAACAAAAACAAAAACATCCTCGTTCCATTGACTATTCTACTTATTCATTCATGAAATTAGCATTTGTTTCATTGGATGGTTTGATAGCAGAAGATCATTCCGTTGAATCAATCAAACTGACTGACAACTTTAATAATTTTTTTTGAAAAACACTGATAGATGACAGGAATTTTCCGTGAATAAGGTAAATATAACATATTCAGACGAAACTTTACTTTCTTCAACATCATGGTCGAGAAAACGATTTCAATTTCACAGCTTCAGTGCACCCCCCGACCCCACTCCCCCTGGTTTCAATATTCGTCGACAGTACAAGGAAGTGATATAGCCTGATTCGATTTGCAATACTAACCGGCTTTCTTATTATTTTAATTTGAACATCAGAACATCTTCAACAGATTCTGGCTGGATTCTTCTAGAAGACGGTTCAGACGAGAAACTTCTCTTTTTTTTTGTTCAAATGTTTTTCTGATATTGGTGTCATTGTCCTTGAAGAAAACGCAACCATCAGTTTGTGTTGGATCTATTCAGAGCTCACCCCTCGTTGCCTGATTAAATATTCCAAAACAATTTTGAAGAAAGAAAAGAAAAGAGAAAAAAAATAATGATCAAGTAGATTGGCACGGTATTATCAATGCATGTTAACCGGTTCTGCCGTCGTCGTAATCTCCTCTCTTCCGCTCGTTTTCTTCAAAGAATTTTCTCATCGCCAACGTCGTCATGTAAGTGGACCACAACTATTGAAACTCAACATGAGAGAAAAATGAAAGAAACAAGAAGGGGAGGAGTAATTAGCTCAAATTTGGTCAAATCAAATAAATTCTTTGCAAATTGTCATTTAAGTTACGAAAAAAAACTTGACATTTGCGTTTCTTTGAACTTCTTCTTGCCTTGACGACGAAAGCGGAAGAAACAAAGATCTTTGATGAGACGGATGATGCTGATCTTCAGCTTCACCTCTTCTGCCCATTAAAGAGCATTTATAGCCATTTCGTACAACTACATATAATTTATGAGAAAAAAACAATTATTTTTGCAAATAAAACCAGATTTTCACGTGAAGACCATAATCTCAGTGGAGTCTTCGTGTTAGTTTCTGTCGAAAGTCATAAAAAATGAGAAATTTAAGAGAATTTCGTGATTTATAAGTTTGAAAAACTTGTTACTTAAACTTTGATTAGACATTTGTCAACCAATTTTTCATTTTAAGAAGATTCGTATGAATCTCCTGGAAGTATAGATAAGGATGTATCGCGCTGAAAAACAGTTTGTAATGATAGGTTTGTGTCTGTGTGTGAGAGAGATAGAGAGAGAGAGAGAGCTCAATACATATTACGTTGATGCTCTGACATAACAGTTCTGATTGAGAAATCAATTAGGATAACCAGACTGAGCGTGAAGAAGATAAGCTTCTGAATCATCAAGCTTTTAATTTTTCCCTTTCACTTGTAAGCTGTTCGTTCATGTGGAAGGAATGATAGGAAGAATAGGCAAAGGATATATATAGATTAAAGCTTTCACGCAATGATTGTTGAAAAGCTTCTCTCCTTTTTCATTTAGAAATTCACCTTCATTTCTCTCTTCCCTCTTATGCTACCTTCTTACTTCATCTGCAACATAATTGGATCTTCTGGTTGACATCGTTGACAGAAAGCCGCCAGGCGACTCTTCGCTTCTATCGTCTGTATTTGGGTCCATACCATCACAACTGATAATGCGTATCGATTTCCGGCATTTTTCTCTCTTTCTCTTCCTCTTTCTCTCTATCTCTCCATCAATTTCATTTTCTATCATCTGTCTTTTCTGGAACAACCTGTGTACCAACTCAAGCCAAGTCGAGTCAGAAAAGTAACAAACAGCTTTTTATATTCAAATCAACTTCCTTTTTCTATTTGAAACTGTAATGAAGAGTTGATAAGTTGAAAAAAGCTGATTCCATCTTCATCTAATTCGTTTTCAATAGAAAAATTTGGTCAAATTAGTGCATCTAATTCTATGATTTGCCAATTGTTTTCATCCTTTTATCATCGCTTCTGATGATGATGATGATTCACATAATTTTCGAGGTTAAAAATGAAAAATAAGCGACGAAAAGAAAATAATTCTTCTCACCCATCTCCCTTCTTCACCCACTTCTTCGCCTTCTTCACCCCCCCCCCTTTTCAATTACAACAAGTTCAACCTCTCAACCATCAGCAAAGGTGAGAAAAACGAAAGTGGAAATGGGAATTCGTTTCCTCGCTTCTTTCTCAGTTTACTCTTTCTCTTCCTCCGAACTTCCTTTTCTAACAACTCTACCCTCCCCCATACTATTACACAATCCCCATAAATACATATAAACGGAAGTTCAAAAAACTGGAACTTACGATCTCGATCTGCTAATTCGTCCCATAACTCGTAAAATTCTTGACAGAGCTTATTCTTCAAGCCACAACAATACTGTCCAAAGCCTCCAGCTTTGGACTTTTGTGAAAACGTTGATTGCTTACGTTTTTTCATCATCTGAATCTCGAGAATTCAGATGAATCAACGTAGGCAACTCAATATATCGTTCGACAAGTGTTGTGTGAGAATCAAAGCTATTAGATGAAGCTGGAAAACAAATCAATAACGTGCAAATATGGCAAATAGAACATGTACGAACAAAGAACAAGAATATGACAACACGGAAAGATACGAAATTAAAATGAAGAACGAAGTGAGATAGAGCTTCTTCACTGATCCCGAAACGGTTCAATGAATGTGGATGAACCCACTTTGGACGTTCGCCCATCAACTTGAACATAGATAGGAAACCACGGTACAATATAATTAATATCAATATACGAAGAGATACATAGAAGCAAAAATCATAAATATCATAAAGGGCATAGTTAAGATGTTCTGCCAAGAATGGAAATTTGCCTTATACAGTCGCTTCGTTGTCAACGATTTGACAGACAAATGTCGACCACCCTAAATCAGAATTTGGACGACTTGCAGAACCGCCCACCTTGTCAATTTCTTTCTCGTTTTCTCTTCTATCTTAATCATATCTATGAACAGGATAGCTTCGAAAATGAAGACTTTTGGATGAATTATTCAAATTATCTGAGCTCTTCGAAGTATTTCCCGAATCATCAACAACTGTAATCATCGGAATCGACGTTGTTTAATTCTGAATCAATCATATTGACAGCTGAAAACATAAAAAAGGTAAGTACACCAACTGATGATGTTGACCAGTTCAGAGCAATTTTTGTTACGAAATATCAAAAATTATAATTAATTGGAATGTTGTGGCTTAGAAATCAAACAGCTCAGCCTTCAAACTTCATCCGCTTACGAGCGATGCACCCGGAACCAACTGGTTCACGCAGGTTCACCAATCTCTTCGCAAGTTAAATCAAAAGGTTAACATCTTCACAAATATTTCACGTAATTTGCTTATCGAAAGAGCCTTCTCAACATTCTGACAGAAATCCTTTTCATCCCTTTTGCTGCAAAATCCGCGTCCAGTTCCTTTTCACGTGAATTAGACGGAAGTTTGCATTTCATTTCTCATTCTTCGGTTAAGTGCGTCATCGAACTGTTGGTTTTCTTGAAATATATTTGTTAGTGTAGTTGAAAGGGAATGTTGCTCGATTCTCTTAATGACTAGTTCGGAAACATAGAGAACGAACTTCACAAACGATAAGTGTCCTTATACTCTCATATCATTCTCTATCTTATTTGTGAATTAAGTCATATTTCTCATTCCTCGCTGTTCGAAGGACAATGAGTTCTCATCTTCAACGTTAGCTCTCATAGTCTATCCCTTCGTTTCTAAGTAAATAGCTATTCTTTTTTAGTTAAATGTCGTGTCCCATGTGGTCTAGTGGTTAGGATTCGTGGTTTTCACCCACGCGGCCCGGGTTCGATTCCCGGCATGGGAATGTCTTTTTGATTATTAAGAAATTTACAAAAAATTTATTTTACTCTTGCAGAATCAAGCACAAACGTTTTCTTTTCACTTTGTGTGTTTTCTCAAGCAGCTACATCTCATCATCAGTGAAAGCTGCTTTTGTTCTCTTCTCGAATGTCGAAGAAACAGAAAAGGTTTCTGAAAAGTTGATAAGAAGGTGTACGAGTTAGTAAACTCACTTTGTTCCAAAGATTTTCCAAAATCATAGCCTCCTTCTAGAGTGAAAACACCTTTAGCGGCAGACAGCTGGAAAATCACATCAAATTCAAATTTCACAACTTCAAGTCACCATTTCGTCATCATCTTCTATGTTTGGATGAACTGCGAAGAACATTGTATACCGAAGTGCGTGAGCAAGAGATGGTTTGAACTGCAATGCCTGCAATAAAACTATTTGAAACCCAAGGAGCATTAAACGAGATGAAAACCTTGATTTCTCGCTCAACTTCGTTAGATGTCAAGTTGGGATCAGCTAGAATTCTGTGAACCTGCAAGAATAACTTGTTTTCATCATTTTTCAAAATTTTTCACTTTTTCATAAGCCTTTGGGAGCTCATCAATGAGTTTCGTAGTGGCTTTATGCCACTCATTAACTAACTTCTTCAGCTTCTCAAAATAGTTTTGTAAATCTGTCTGGAAATTTCCCAAAGATACAATTGGATATTGAAAAATCAAACTTGAATTTCTGCTTTCTGTTTTTTCGCCCATGCCTCCAGTTGATGCTTCATTTCGATTCTTGAGATATCACGATTTTTGACAATGCTGAAGAATTCTCGACGAGCTTCTGGACTAACTTTTCTGGAGAAAAACTATGAGTTAGTCATTATCATGAGCTGTTGTATACTTGAGGAAGGTGGGTGAAGGGAAGTGAGAATGATGATGATGCTTATGCTTAGTTGCAGAAACAACCTCGGTTGCATTCGAGCCCGGACGGAACGATTTCAGATTTCCATGAGCCATTGAACGTTGATTTATATGATTATGGAGATCTCGAAGTATCTCTAATATCTCCTGTTGTTTACTTCTTATGTTCATATATCGACAAACCTTCCATTTTTGCTGCTTCAACAATCACAGCACCCATGACGAGGAGCAGCAGAAGGGACGGACAATAACGCATTCTGGAATCTGTGAAGTGTGAAAGAAAGGAATGAAATGACGGAAATAACTGAAATGGTGAATTGGGAGGAGTATTATAAACGTTAACACACAAATGAAAACGAAGTCGTCTTCGAATGCTTTGATCTTCGTACTGCAGTCAACTGACCCGAGGTTTGATTATAAATAAACGAATTGCGGAAGATTTTCAACAAAATATCTTAGAGAACCTCATTGAAAAATATAAACGAACCAATATTTCGAATTAAAAACTGACGAAATGAGTGAAAAAAAATTTTTTTAAATTGATTGTATGTTGAAGGAATAATTGATGGTTACGATTCAGTGTAGCTATGACAACAATTAGAAAAGCAAAACTTCATCTGAGAAGATGGAGAGTGGAAGACAATGACAAGATTTATTCAAACTCTTGAATAGTTTCAACCTACTACATTTCCTAATCATAAAACACCTGTTTTGACGAATGAGATGTATTATCAATACACGTTCTATCTACAACACACATATACACGTCCAGCATGCCTTGCTCAAGCGTGATTTATGGAACGAAGAGGATTATACATCTTCTCTGCTCTTCTCAATATGAGAAACTGCGTAAAACAATTACTTATTATCATTTGACTAACAAAGCCAATGAGAATTGAAGCTACGTTTGAAAGTAAAAGCCATCTGACATCAACACAACGACGAGGAATCGTTGACATTAATTGATGTTGAATCTCAGTGTTATTGTCAGTTCCTCGAAAACGAACAGCAACTCCATGTCTTACATCCCAATCGCTCCACGAATTGTTTTCTGAATTCAATTTTTTTTATTCATTTTGAACCTTCAAAGAGCAATGTCATATGTATTGCTATTTTCAGCAGCTCACCAGCATTAAATGGCATTTCCTCAGTTTTCATCTCAACATTAATGTCGTTAATGAACTTTGAACTTGCTAAAGCACGAAAGCGACGTCTTACATCTCCTTAAAAACTTATTTCATGAATTTTTCTTTTTTCTCTATTCAGCACAACCTTCTGTTAACCAATTAGACCATTCTCCATACTTTTTAACAATTGGACAATTGTTTTTACATGGCCTATACTCGATCGGACATCCTTCGCATGTTTCCGATAAGCAATAACGAACTCTTCAGAATTATGAGAATTGTTATGAATAAGTAATGTGCAGATAAAACCTTTGAGAAGCTTCTTCAACTCTAGAAGAGCATGAACATTCGCTCCATTCATTCCAATCGCTCCATGTTCCCCAAACAAACTCAGGAATGCGTAGTTCATCAGATGAACAATTTCTGATTTCCACAGCATCCCCATTGCAGTAACTGTTAGCACCTGAACACAGAATGAATACTAAGACCGCTTCGTGTGTTGATCTCATTACCTATTGGAGTTGGTTGATCACATAGCCGACGACGTCGTTCTCTATTATCTCGACATGCAGACCATGGCGACCACGCCGACCATTCACCCTGTCTTGAGCAATTCTTCAGCTGAAAAATGATAATTCTTGATAACCACGAAAAAGCATTCAAAAAGCCAAAAATTTTAAATGCAAATGAGTAACGTAAGTGTATGCTAATTACATAATTATATGCTAATTAGTCTTTCGTGGCGGCGTCCAAACCGTTCCAAAAGATCATTTTTCTATTTGCAGCATACGTTGACCGGTTGATTTTATAAATTCCAAACGAAATAAAAAATTCCGAAAAAAATGTAAATTGCGTACAGCTATTTTGGGTTCGTCTTCCTCGTAATTCATTAATGTTAATTCACAAATACATTTCAATCCATTTCGACTTGTACATGAAGTAGAGAGGATCTGAAATAAAGAATAATTATAATTATTAAATTTTATAAACTTTCACTCTAACATATTCTCTCATTCAAACAAAAATGTAATTAATTGAATATCTGCTTGTTGCCCTCTCTCTCTCTCTCTCTCTCTCTCTCTCTCTCTCTCTCT